AATGTGTATTTTCTATATTTTTTATAAATTAATTTATTAGAAATTTTTTATATTAAAAAATGTAGTCAGATATCTTCATTTGTGTATATTCACCTTTCCTTAGCTTTTTGAAAATACATTTGCGGTACAAATGATGTATATTATTATACATGTTTACCTTAATATGTAAGATTTTGTTGAATCATTTAAATTTCATTCTCACGATAAATTTAGAGAAATTTACAATACTTATATTTTCAAAATTTTGATTTGTTTATAGCATTTTTTCACTACAAATTTGCATTGTGTACTAAATATTAATCTATATAATATAATATCAATTTTCACTTGGTGGTCAATATTAGCAAAAATTATACAAATAGTTAAACTATTACAAGATCAACCTTCTTAAATTAAAACATGATGACATTCAGTACATTTTTTATTCAATAGTTTTGGAGAAAAGTTATGCAACTCCATGATAGCATCCAAGCTTCTGATTCCATGTTACTTGTGACTTGTTGAGTTTTATCGTATCATCTCGCCTTCTGTGTATACATATGTGAGTCCTATCTTCAAATGAGAAGGAAATGCAAACAATTTGATTTCCGGACTAAACGAGTATAAGGCTGAGCACACCTCCGAATATTTTGTTGTTGGGCAACGCAATTCATAGAACACATGTAAGAGCATGTGTTACTGAGCTAAAATATGCTCAGTAAATAGATCCAAGATCATGTATTGAATCTCCAAACAAATTGGATGGAAATCGAACCATCAACATTGATGGCTCGATCTCCAGTACATATCTCCCAACTGTTTGGAGAGATTACCAAAGAGTTTCACATGTCCACCGTACCTCTCTACTTTATTCGGATACATCTGAACCTGATTTGGATGTCGTACAAGTCACAATTTATCCAGGAATATCTACCAGACGTGCGGGTGGTAGAAGAAGAAGTTTTCAAATAAAAAATTGGAGCTGTATTTGACGCTGTTCTGAAATTTTTCTCTGATTTTATTTAAATTTTTATGCAGCAGAGTTAAACGCTATCACTTAACTCGAAATGCAAAAAAAAACCAACTGCTCAATAGTAGCTTAATAAAGTCGATAAATAGCTTTTGGAAATTCACAACGTATGCGGACGCATTCTAGATGAGATCAACGCTGAGATAATCATGATCATGATAGTACATAAACAGATAGTGACCGGTGCCTCACTTTGATCCGATATTTCACAATATGCAGACACACCGTTCCATAGAAGCTCTAATTAAAAAATCCGTATTCAAATGGAATGAAAATATTACATAATATCAGAATCTACGTTATGAAACATGTGATAATCCATTACGAAAGGAGTTGTAATCTTCAAAATCAACTCACTAAACATGTGGTGATTAGATATGAAGCAAAAGTCCAAATGTGATTTTTGTCTTTCGTTGTTTTGATGCTTGTACAATTCTGTTCGTGACTCCAAGTTCACGCTCTACGATACTGTTGGATGGAAGATATATACAATAAATTTTTATATATTTATTTTTATCAACTAAAGTGAGGTGACTTGCTAAGTTTCAAGAATGTTTACACCGCTATATATTTGGTTGCTTCGTATTTTGACATCCAACGTCCGTAGTGGTCCAATCTCTTAACGTTGTTTAGAGACAGGAATAGCCACATTTACCATAACCTTACCCTGCATTCTGACAGACAATTGCATCGATTCGTTGCTTTGATCGCAACGAACAGGAACTTCTACAAATGCAGACATCAAAGTGGAGACGCATGGAATGAAACGCGCGATGCAACCACTTGGACCCAAACAACGTGAGGAAAAATACCAAATCAGAGAGCTAATCTCTATCTTCATAAACCACTGTGTCCCGAGGGCGCCTCGGATGTCTGATACATGCAGATGAATACATGAGCTCTAGAGCACGTCTCAAATTGCAGTATCTGTTCTGTATCAATTTCTTTATTTTTTTTGGTTGTCTGTTTAAATATCATTATTCATGGCATATGACAGCTGTGAACATATATCATCATATGTCAATATTTTATCATGACCGTACGCGATAATATATCAGCCTTGTCTTCTATAAATAGATTATTTGATCTTGATAGTTATGATATAATACTTGATGTTTGACACATATCTATCGGGGACTAGCCTGTGGTCTACCGTTTTGTTTGTGCTTGATTAGGTAGTTCCATTATTTTTATATATCCATGTGATCCACTTCCTGTTAGCGGAGGCAGCAGAGGCTAAAGATTCCCAACTCTTAATGGAGAATACTCTTCTTGGCAAGCATGAAGAGAATGAGTTGTCCGAAAGATGCGGTGTTTCGTGAAGGGTTCATTATTGCTAATTGACATGGAGTGTGAATTTTTCAATCATCACACATGTCCTTCAACTTGTGATTACGTAAATTCCGATTTTCATTAACTGTATATGTGAACTCAATCAAGAGTGCTTTAAGCTTTGAACCTTAGTCTTCAATTCTTATCAAAATGGGTTGGACGACTCCACCGTAAGAGCTTTCGATGCCGCCACTACATGGCTCCGCTCATTTCAGTCGTTGCTGATAGTATCAACCTACCAGCAATGAAACGTTATACACCACTGCTTCTGCATAGAAACCTGGTCTAGTAAACAAGTTTCTGTTCAAGGCTCATGAGCGAGAAACTGTGCCCGACGTGTACGAGTCACATCCAAATGTGCTTGTTCAAAATTTCATGCCAATTTCGCTCCTTTCACACGAGCTATGGTCCACGCCGCCGTATGTATAACCATATTGCAAGTTAGACTGGAAAGAGAGTACGCCGAGAGTGAGGTGGTGAAATAAAAGACTTTTATAAGATAAAGTTTTATTCCCCCAATGCTTCATCTTTAACGGTACTCTAGAGCATGCATATTAATGGCATGGACCGTTGCAAGAGCAAATAGCCTGTTGCTATCTTCTTCTTCATGTCTTCACACCAAGCAAGACTCGAACAATGCTGTCATATTTGCAAGCAGCTGGTGAGAAGAATTTCCACTTCAACATTCAAAGTTGACTTCATCAAAAGATTTGCTTCCAGCTGCAAACGGAGCTGTACATTCAATTTAATGTATTCTCCATCGGGGCATAATCGTCCGTTGCTACGTCCAGAAAAAGAGGCTGATGTACCATAGAGAAATGAAGATGAGGGTTGGCTGCCAACAAGTCTTGGCTCCCACACACGGAACAAGTGGGCAAGGTACCATCGAACTCCCATATTTACACTCTGGAAAATACATCAGTTTTTGACTTCTAATTATTGTTCACTTTGTTTTGAACCTACATGTCCTAGATGTTAGTCTCTACCATTTTACAGAGTGGAATTATAATCTAAATCAAGAGGAATTTCATGAGGCTCCCGTATCAAAGTTCTATCGAGATCCATCTGCTGATTGACACAATAAGTGACGAGAACAACACGACATGAAAGTACTAGGAGAATGTTCAAAATGTACATTGACATTTATGAGAACCTCCAGCTGTTTTTCATTCAAATGCATTCTGCATTTGACCTCTACCTGGAGATAATGCTCAATTGAGTGCACAAATGCTGAAGTGTTGATCTATTCTCAAAAGTCTTGAATCAAATACATCAGTGAACAAGTTATTAATCTCCGACTAGGAAAGTGTTTAACTCTTCTTCCATTAACATGTGAGAGGATCTCGGAATAAATGTCCCCATCAATTTTGTCCTCAAACTACGTGATTTCAGAAATGTGCTTTCTACCATGTTGTCCACCTGGACAGACGCAGCGAACATTAATGAAGGTTATGTGATATCAGACACTCCTGTAAAATCACACCATGACACTCTACGATGTCTCACTCCACAGTGCAGAGCTCAGAAACGCAATCTATTTGACGACGGAGATTCAAGTCCGGTCTCCCTCTGAGCTGACAGACTTGGCCAGGACTGCAATTACGATGATCTCAGAACCACCAAAGCCAGTTTTGTTGCTCGAGTCTCGTTGTGTGGCGAGCGAGGTGACATCAAACGGGAAAGTGCGCCTCGGTTGGACTGTTCGCCAAGTCGCGAGCGAAGTTCGCGACTTGGCGGGAAAAGCTCCAAGTGGCGCGCGATTCAGAGGGTGAAGGCCGGAAAGTCAGTCGGAACCACGGTCTCTATTGGGCGCGCGTGTAAGGGAGCGCGCCGTCTTACTGCAGTCGCGGTCTCCGATCCACAGCACGGCGAGAGCTCGACGGACCGGGACAACCGCGTTGGCAGGTCGCGAGCTCGGGGAGGGATGGCAGACGGGCCAGACGCTTAATTAGTAGAGGAAATAGAACAGCCATTAAATCTCGACTCACAAAAAACTCTGTGGTGAAAAGCGAACCTGGTATCCACTGAACCGTCTTCTGCATCTGCATCTTCTGTATCTAATCCTTGCCATGCCTCGTCCACGTGTCATAAGCCTAAAGCTAGCCAAGCATTGATATCGACCACTTCCGACCTCAACCCTGTCGACCTTCGTCCACGTGGCCAGGTCTCTAACTACGTTCATTGTACAATTAACCATAGGCGCTCCTGCCTTATCTTCTGGTCCGTGCTCTCCAGCCTCAGAACCATCGTTCGCTTCCTTCGTCCATCTCTTTCTCCCGGTACCTGCCCCTGCCCGAGCTCCCGTCTTTTCCCCAACCCCAGCCGGTTACCACAGAGTTACTTAGAAAGGGCCACTTGGCACCACTGTCGCTAGCGCGGTAAACTCTCGGAGCTGGAACCCGCTCCCTCGATATAAGGACACGCTCGAGAACGACGAGGCGTATGCCAGGAGACCGAGACCGACTGTGGCCTTCAAACGAGCGGAGTCCCGATGTGGAGACCGGATAAAAGGGAGGCGAGGATATTGGCCGGAGGTAGAAGCAACTGGGGTGAGGTGAAAGTGACCGTCGGGTAGTGTGTGGTCGGGGCAGGCTGCTACTGGGTCCACCGGGCTCGGGGGCAGGAGATGGAGATGCTCCACAGGCTCCCACAAGCTGCAGCTCTTCTTCTTCTTCTTCTTCTCGTGCTGCCTCCATCATCAACGAACTTTCTCCCGCGGGCTTTGTGTTGATTAGCTCGGGCACAGCTCGAGCTCCATCGCTCTGTCGTCGCAGTTCCAGGAGAGCGGGTCTCGGTGCGGGTGATCGTCGTCGGCCACTTCGTAAGCGCTCTCTCCCCTTCCATGTCGCTCTGTTCGGTTGGTGTCGAATGTGCCCGCCGGGAGACTTCGAGGGCCGTCGAACTTTGCATGCGTCCTCTCCGCTCGCGTCCATTGCGGACATGGCCGCGCGCGCGCATGCCTGTCGTCGAGGCTCGTCAAATTCGAGTCGGTCGGTCGATGTTGGCGTCTCGGCATTGAATCCGCCTTTGAATTCTTTCGGGGCCAGTCGACGTCGTTTCGTTGAGGCATTTCGGCCTCTCTCAGTTGCGGACGATGTTGGCCCGTCTGACGATCGCTTCGTGGTTCTCACGTGCAATTTGGCTGAATTTCTCCAGGGGGAGAGCTGATTTCGGAGATTTGGTGATTTATTCCTCGTCTTTCGTCCGCACCGAACCATGGCTAACCCCGCCGCCACCATCACCAATGTCTGCGAGTTCGAGGAGGTCGCTAAGCAGAAATTGCCCAAGATGGTCTACGACTACTACGCTTCGGGTGCCGAGGACCAATGGACTTTGAAGGAGAACCGTCACGCCTTCGAGCGCATCAGGTCAGAATTCTCTTACTCTCCTCGCGCCCTTGATTTTAGTTATGCTCGGGCTCTCAGCTTGCGGTCTCTAGCAATCCCAATCATGAAATCCCAATTCCAAAGGCCCCGCCAGCCTGTCCAGCCTTCGTAGACCCGGCCTTGCAGCTACCAAGTTGTACTTAAATCCGAACGGACTTTCCTAGCTTGAGGGCTACAGTCGATATTCTGTTGCCTGCAGAACATTCTGTTGCAGCAACTGACGCGAGTAGGGTCTGTTAATTCTGTGTCGCCAGGTTCCGCCCTCGCATTCTGATCGACGTGACGAATGTGGACACATCGACCACCATCCTCGGACACAAGGTGTCGATGCCCATCATGGTCGCACCAACAGCCATGCAGAGAATGGCTCACCCCGAAGGTATGGAATTTGTGGAAGTCTAGTGAATTACGGTTCTCGAGCAGCGTGAGTTTGCGTCCGAAGGTTTCATTTTAGGCAGGTCTTGTTCTTACTCTGACGAGCTCGAGGTGATGTTGCCTTGCAGGTGAGCTCGCCACAGCCAGAGCCGTCGCGTCGCACGACACCATCATGGTGAGTGAATTGCAACCCGACTCCTTCCGGAGCTCCTTTCGATTGACAATTGTTGCTAGCAGTTGCCAGTAGACCGATTGGCCGTGTTCCATGCGGACGTCGAGTTTCGCGCACTTGATCATCGCCTGTGCTCGCCCACTCACTCACTGACCAGCGCCTGCTGCCTTGTGACGGCGCAGACCTTGTCGTCGTGGGCTACCAGCAGCGTGGAGGAGGTCGCCAGCACCGGACCGGGCATTCGATTCTTCCAGCTCTACGTGTACAAGGACCGCAATGTGGTGGCGCAGCTCGTCCGCCGGGCGGAAAAGGCCGGGTTCACGGCGATCGCACTCACGGTCGACACTCCGATTCTCGGTCGCCGTGAAGCGGACATCAAGAACAGGTTTTCGCTTCCGCCGCATCTGACGCTGAAGAACTTCGAGGGTCTGGACCTCGGACAGATGGAGAAAACCCAGGACTCCGGTCTTGCGTCCTACGTGGCCGGTCAGATCGACAAGTCGCTGAGCTGGAAGGACGTCAAGTGGCTGCAATCCATCACCAGCATGCCCATCCTCGTCAAGGGTGTGATCACCGCCGAGGACACCAAGCTGGCCATCCAATGCGGCTGCGCCGGGATCATCGTCTCGAACCACGGCGCCAGACAGCTCGACTACGTACCCGCCACCATCTCTGCTCTGGAGGAGGTCGTGAAGGCCGCCGCCGGCAAAGTGCCCGTGTTCTTGGACGGAGGTGTCCGCCGAGGCACGGACGCACTGAAGGCCCTTGCGCTGGGAGCGTCCGGAGTCTTCGTAAGTCTCTTTTCGTCGCTTCGGTCCGAGCAATTATTGTTTCAGTCAGTCAGGTAGTAATTATCTTGTTCTTGCGGGTTACCACGTTGAGAGTATTTTGCCCACTCTTTTAACGGCGTGATCCGTTCACGGTCGATTTGCAGGTCGGGAGACCCGTTCTGTGGGGGCTCGCCTCGGAGGGAGAGGCGGGAGTGAAGAAAGTTTTGCAGATGCTGAGGGAGGAATTCCAGCTGGCCATGGCCTTGGCCGGAGCGACGAAAGTGAGCGAAATCACGCGCTCTCACGTCCAGACCGAGCAGGAGAGGATGGCGCAATTGCCCAACACGATCACATACTCCAGGTTGTGATCCTCTCGACACGCACGGGACGAAACCAATCATCGGATTCGCACTTTTTCTCTTCTTAAGATTTGGCGATTTCTCTGGGCGCTTCCTCCTGTTTGAATTGTACAGAGGAAAGATGAAGTCTTGCTTGCGACGGATATGGACTAAGAGATATCACAGTGCTAGGCTCAGCCATGGCCGTCGCTCGCCGCATATGTAGTCGGGCATTTGAGGTCACTGGAAACGTGCATCTCATGGTGTTATTAGACGGCAACAGGCAAACGTAGTTGTGCAGTAAATAGCGGTGTCCATGAAGATCTTACGTTAGGCACTACAAGTTGTTGTCGTAACGCTGTTATTTACAGTAGATGCGGTAGTAGACGCCTAGACCGCTAGACATATCTTTCAAATGTACTTGTAGCATATACTGACCTTCAGGGATTTAATTCTACGACCCCTCCTGGCTAAGTGTTCCTTGAAACGACGACCACTCCCTTTCGCAAATTCAGCTGCCTTTCCTCGATTTTCTCCCAGCTCGGTTGCCGTGATTGCCATTGTCCGCGCCGAAAGTGGAATCTCATATCTGCATTGTCGTCCTGTTCTCTGACCTGACCTGACTTCTTATCCTCTGGCCTCTTTGCCTCTTGCCTCTCTCCATGGGCGTCACTGACCTGCAGGCTCGCGGTAATTTCCCGAAGAACTTCGCGGTGCTTTTGGTTCTTATCTGGGGAAAGGAATGGCTGTCAGCAGTCACTGCTTTTTGCCGTGTAGAGGCTGCGTAGGTATGATCAGCTACTCTGGCGATTCCTGACTGTCGCAGAAGCGGGTCAGGAATCTTATCCACCGGCACGCGCGCATGCACATGCACGCATCGCACTTTTCATCTGAAAGTTTTCTGTTCATATGCCGAGTCTATGAAAAATCTACCTCACAACAAGGATGGGAAGAAAGTTTTTCCATAACTTGGATATGTATATACATGACGAAGAATATGAGTCATATGAACGGTATAAAGTAAACAAATAAATAAATAAACAAATAAAAAAAATTCAAATCACAAAATACTGGAAAGAAGATAAAACAAAAAACTCTTTGAAAAGGAAACACGTGAGGAAAAGCATCTCAAGAAGAACGATCAGAACTGTAAGAAAACACTAAATATTTAACAGAATTGAAAGTATGGAAAATATTGAAGGATTGTACGCAGCAAATCTACGGTAAATACGTTCATAACACTAACATATGAGCGTTAAATTTTACCTACTTTCCCCTAAGTCCAAACTTGATGGAATGGTAAGTTTTACAGAAAAAGAATGTACGACGTTTGTGATAGTTTGCCTCAAATAATTTATAATAACATCATTACTCATTAGTCAGTCTTTTTCAACTTATTCTATTCAAAGTCAACATGCGATACTAAATATCAATTATCAAGTCTTTCACTATTTGAGATGATACACCAAAATAAACAAATTGTAAGCTCAAATAAACACATATATATCTAATGGATTACAAAATTGAAAGACTATAATAAGCATGGATTCAAAAGTTAATGTGATACATGAAATAATAAAGGTAGTTGGATGATTTTTATATGGACGCATTCCACTGATTGTGTTGATAAGTTTTGTATGATTTCATAATGAGAAGCGTTTATTGAGATGCTTTTCAAAATAAAAGTTTAACGAACATACTTTACTTTTTTCGTTACATAACCAATGGCATGTATTCGCAAATTCTTCAGTCATAAATATCATGAATCTGCTAAAGTAAATCAAAATACTTCAATAAATCTTGTGAAAATAAAATTACTCAGAATAAAATTATAAACCATAATGATAACTTCTCCACAGCTTTCAATTCGTATAATATATTTAGAAAACTAACAATTTTATAATATGAACAAGGTGTGTACAAATCAACGTCAAATTTTTGTTATATTCATCATTCATGGTTTCTATTAAACACTATATAATAAATAACAAATTTTTCTCAAAAAAAGGTAATGACATTTCATTGCATAAATGATTATAAACTGAAAAAAAAAGGTTAGTGTTTATTTTTACAATTCTTGAATAGCGTGCCATTTGACTCAGTCACCAAAACCTATTATCAAATGTGATCAATTATCGAATGGCAATCAAGTAGTCTCAAATATTGTTGATTAATCTCAGGATCGTGATGGATAAGACATCATTTATTTGTAAAATATTGGAAGATCAAGTCAGGATTACAATTGTGGCTTAGAATATCCAAGTTTTTGTCATGTTTTCAGAGATGTTTTTTGAAAATCTCTCCCATTGAATTGAAAACTAGTGCATACATTTTGCATAAGATCATATGTTTAATGATACATGTGTAGTGATGATACCTAGCGGTGCACATGAAACGATTGGACTAGCTTGTTCTTCCATGAAGGTAGAAGAGTACTTGTGCACATCATTTGAGTTTGATGTGGGATGTGCACAAACTTATGAAGGGTTTAATGATTAACATATAACATATTAAGGAGTTACACAATGAAGAGGATTTTATATTTGTATATAAGTTACTAGAAAATGAAATATACTGATTCACAATAATGGTTTAACTTGCAATAATCATCTAGCAATAATTCTGTTCCCCCCAAAATTAAGACATCCAACTTTTTAGTATTATTGATTGAGATGATCTACTTTGGCAGCCATTGATTGATTACCTGCAGCCATTGATGGCATTAACGCCCAATATAATTATTTATTATATTATATGGTGTATATATGGTAATATGGTATTTATTCCAACTTTACAAAAAATTATTACATAGTTGAACAATGCCCATATTCATTTGTTGAGATGAATCATGTACATGAAGTGTTGGAGCATTTACGTGTTGAAACAAACATACATTTGAGGTTGCAATATCAATGAAAAAATATATTTTTTATCAAATGTGTTTAGCTAAAAATTGCAATCAATCACACAAAAAAATTCACTGTGATTGTTATTTGCTCATTTTTTGCCGAAATGAAATTCATTTTGAATGTAATTAAATATTCTTTGTTGGAGCAACATGTGATATTCATAACAAAATCTCATACAACAAAAATAGCAAATAAATATGTTTTTGAAAATTTTTCACTTTAGATATATTCTGTAATAGCAAAATTTCTTATCATTTGTTTTGAAGGATGCAATTTTTTACTACAAAAAATTATGAATGGTTTGCTACTTGTATTTGATCCTGAAGTATAGTTTATTAATGATATATATTATATTAAAATTAGATGAATATAATTTCTATTAAATATATAATATTTCTGATATGTTTAGGATATAAAGTATGAATTAGTTTTTAACAAGATGAAGTAACTAGATCATATCATATAGCAATAAGTATGAATATTGATATATCCAAGATATAATTGATTCTTTTCATTAATATATTTTATGTTATTAATTTATGTGAAACGTGTATTTTTTGGAGTACCTGTATTTATATTTATTGCTATACATAAACATGGAGATTGAAAAAAAATTGATTGTAAGACTCAAAATACATATGACAAAATATAACTCGGTTTGATCATTTTGTTAAAAAAATTTACCATCAACATCCAAATTAGAAAAATAATAATAATTTTATTCAGAAGTTAAAAATGTTAATGAAGCATAGAGAATGAAAATAATTCTGCTGTATCCTATTTTTATAGAAGATTCATATTAATAAGGCAGCTCATGAGGAATTGGTTCAAATTAAAATTTCAAAAACCTTTTGCTGTGTATCAAATTAAAATTGATGATGATATGTATAAACTTGATATTTTTTGTATTTACAAACATGAAAAGTGATAGTGTTTGATAATTATTCAATAAACCTAGAAAAACATATATTTTAACAAGAATTGGTAGTGGTTGGTCATTAAAGTATATATTAAATTGAATAAAATATATCCGTGATAGAAATTTATCAAGATAGAGAATTTATCCGAGTTTTTTGAGTTGATGATTTTGTCTGAGAGATCATATAAAAAAAGCGTTGTCTTTTAAGAATGATGCTTTGTCAATTTGAAACACTACCTTGCTGTTTTGACTTGCTGTTTCAACGTTGTTGATTGATCAAGGTGTTTGAATTTTTGGAATAATTTGAGATTTTGTGTGATCTAGGTGTGATCAAGATCTTCATGAAGCGATTACAGGTGACTTGTTGATAATTGAGGTTGGAATTATTTTTCAAAATTTGTTTGTCACCACAGTTTGGGTAATCCCACGCGTGGATCCATTTTCATCGTGGAAACAATTCTCACGCAGTACCAGAAGGGGACGGAGGGAGGGAGGGAGGGATGGATCGATGGATCGAACGGCACAGCAGTAACGCATATTCCTAACGAACGACCGACTGACCGTCCAACGAACCGACCCGATTGCGCTGCCAAATCTAAACAAACCACGCGATGCCTGAGAACAGCGACGACAATTCCCGTGACATCTCAGGGAGCAGCCCAACGGCCAAAGCCCGACGACTCCCATTTCAGTTACGAGAGAAATCCCGAAAAAACGACATTCGTATTGGCCATAGATTCTCCGCAATGCTCCCCATAAAGGTCCGCGTCCCCGAACGAGGCCCCGACCTCGAGAGCTCTCAGGATTCGGTGCAATGCAGCGTCTCCAAGTGCGGCGCGATGGTGAACTCGGAGCAAGACGGGATGCCACCAAAGCGTGCGGGGGCCGGGATCGGGAGGCGATGGACGAAGCGAATGCTTTTTCTGTTGGCTCTCTCGCTTTGAAGTTCTCTGTGGAATAGGACGAGAACTACTTCCACAACTTTCGTTGCCCGTCGGGGGCGTTCGGGCTTATTATGCTCTCGGATTGCAGAGCGAGGGGCAAAGGTGACGGAACTCACTTCGTGGATCGGGTCTCGAGCTTGGAATGAACACTGCTGCACGTGACGCGTTCTGAAGCTCGATCGGGTGCAGATTATGCGCCGGGGGAGTCCGATGAAAATTACCATGAGTTGCAGAAAGAGCGACGGCCCTCGAGTGATTTAGATAGAGAGGAGATTTGGTGTCAGGAGCCGTGGGTTGTAGCATCAGCTTTGCATGGAGAATCTTATGAGTGAGCCTAAGTAGGGAATTTCAATCAAAAGCAAAGCCGTCATGAGAGACGTGAATCCCATCGGGCCGAGTGAGGAGCACGTCACTTAATTATCGTGGACTTGATCCATCCAGAGGGCGGGCTGCATGAGAAGGTGAGACGCCAATGATCGATTTCACGAGAGAATCAAGTGAAAGCTCCAGTACGATGTACGAAGAATGCTGTGAATTGACTTGCAATCCCTGGGACCTAAGATTCACTCAGGACCTGATCAGTGCTAGATTCAGACCTCCGTATGGCAACTTCACCGTCTACGATGGCGTACGACAGATTTTGGATGGTGGGATGAGTCCCAGCGACTTTCCGAGGATCAGAGTCATGAGGCATGAGGGCCAACTCTGGTGCCTTGATAACAGAAGGTTGTATGTCTTCAGACTCAGTAAAGTCCCGACCATAAAAGTGTCTGTCGTTGCCACTCGTTGTAGTTTGACCCGATCTCTGTCAGCGTTTCCTCCCAATGTCCTTGTGGAGATGTCGACCGCCGAGTTTTTCCCATTAGTGATCTGGGCACACAAGGTTCAAAGTACTCTGGCCTCTTTTACACGAATGATGAGGATATGGATTCCTGGTTACCACGTTGACTCGTCTCTTTTGAGCAGCAAACGTCTTGGCGAATGTGTCTTGTAACCCGTCTCTCTATATACTTGCGACACCTCGTCAGATTCTCAGTACTCCTCCTTCACAGGCTTTGCTTCCGAGTACATACCTGATGCAGGTACGTAGACGTCTCGTGATTCCTGCACACCTTCTGGTAGACTAGGTTAGTTGTGTGGGTCCTGGCCATCAAAGACGCGGTTGGATATTCAGACCAAGTCGCGTAAACAGAATAGCGAGAATCCCAAACCCATAAGCACCGAAACATAATTTCTGGGAATTCAGAAGAATTGACCTTGTTCTCATCAGGGCATGTCAATAAATATGTTCTCAGAGAAGCAACCAGTCGCAGTGTCAGGTTTCAGGGTTTCCCAACCCAGCTTGCTTTCATATAGTCATAATGGGATTGATATTTGCTTTCGAGTGTAATGAGTTTGGAGAATGAGTCCCTGAACATGCCATCCTTCCATTGCATCGAGCTCTAGCGATCATGGATCAACCTCTCTGATAAGTACTGCCCAAATAATTGAACAGTCTATCACCCATCCTAAGGCAATAGTCCACACCTGTAACTTTATTTGACCTCGTCCGAATCTCATCTCAATTTCATGCCACTGTAAGAAGTATGGTATCCTAGTCTACGAAGTTGCAAAGTAAATTCCCTGATGGATCCCGATTGACGGTACATAATGTACCACGTTGTACTTGGACGTCAACCAGGATATGCCCGGCCTTACGAGGGCGTGGGTGTTCATTGTGAGCTATGGATCACGTCGATGGAGTCTAGGAACTAAGTTCGTTAAGGCCAAGACGCAGTGGACTGAACGTGAGGATCTCCCAATTTACCCTCAAGCTTATTCGGATGGCGGCTCTCTTCAGTAGTTTTCTCTTCAGTGGAGAATCGAGGTCCGCGGTCGGAGGTGAAGCGTACTCGAGAATATAACGACTCGCACACGAAATCAGACTCTTGTCCTCCACTTGCCCTCGGGTCCTAAGCTCCACCAGAAGAGGCATGCGACATCTCTTCGTGTGGTTCCCTTCGAGGTGTGCCATTGGGCTCCTTATGATTCTTCGACACGTAAGCGAAGCTACTGAACATTCGTCTTGACGTTGAACTTGTGCGAAGACCGTCTTGTACTGAGAAGGTGGGAACGAGCTCACTAGGACAATGTATTATATTTATAGAGGGTATAATCGACAGCTGATGGGGTCTTCCCATCGGATTTGCTATATTACTTAGTGCCCCACTGTGTTTCTCTTTCCTCTGTGCAGCAAAAAATCATTCGATTGAACCCCTACAGGGTTCTCGTTCTTCGGGCTTTGGCCACAAAATCTGAGGTTGTTAATGAGATACACCTTGGATAACAACGACGACTACGGCTAGGCGTTCAGAACTGGATTTTCATTGCAACCCTTCTCTCCTGATGATAAAGTCAACGGCTTCTTCAACATCTTCCACTACTTTACCAGCCTCGTACAGCCTACTGATGGACTGTCCTCGATAGCATCCCGTACGAGTTAGAATGGGAAACCATGGCGGCCCTGCAATCCTCGCACCTAAAATGTCTGTAGATGGGTTATCACCGATCATGTAGATGGACTCGAAAGGAGGATGCATCGGTTCTCGTGTCTTGGGAGCACCCACCAGCGCTCCAGATATGATCTGTGTTGACAGATCATGCAAGACGTGCTCCGCATGTTTGTACACTGTCAGCTGGGGTTTCCCATATGATACGTACTGAAGAGGAGCGCTTGGCAGTCGGTTGTAGATGCTTTCCAACGCTATTCGGAATGCTCCCATCCCGAGACGAGGTACCGGAAAAGTGGACTGGTAATCGTAATCGTCTGCAGCGAAGAATATGGGTGGTTGTGGTCGACCGGGCACCGCTTCTGTCCCAGGTTTGCCATCCGATCTCAAGATATCACAAATCACCTGAAAATACGAAGAAAGCAAACTGTCCGAATCTCATCACTGAAAAAGTTTGCGACTGAGAGCTCCATACTTTCCATCCAAAGCCGGGAAGAGAAATCATCGACTGGTAAGTATGTGATCGTATTCGAACCCAGAAATTAATACTGACCCACGGCCAAAGGATTATAATACTGTAGCTGAAAGAATGATGGATTGGGGATAAGTTGAACTGAACCTACCATGAACAGAATGATTCACAAATTGTTCTACGAGAGTGGAGAATGGAAGAAACCTGCAAATCTCGACTCCAGTCGACGGGGTCACTGACAACGAATACTCCTGCCAGCTTTGACAGGTGATCGGCCGCTGGAGTTGCGTCATCTTCCTTCAATGGCTGATTCCAAGGCTTGAAGCGACCCAGCCCGTCGATGTTCTCGAATTCCTTCACGAACGAGTCCATATGGACTACATGGCTAGATGCAAACCAGAGCTACGGATGAGTTACAATGACCAGAAAGCCCAGTCGGCTTCCCCGAGATCAACCTCATGAACAATTTTCTGCATGGACTCACATCCATTACACCAAATTCAAAACTTCGAGACCAGAGCTACGATTTAGAAAACTCACTCGAAACCGTAACTCCTCAATACTGCATCAGGTTCGCCCTTACCGACGGCCAGCACACGCTGGTTCCTGAAACTGCAGAGACCAACACCAATGTCAGAGAGTGAACGCTTGCACAAACACATACGAGAATGGACAGACCGGGAACAATGAGAAGGGACAAAGATCAACAATTAACAACATTGGTGGGCTCTTACAGATCAGCGAGCTTTCGAAATGGAGTGTGCCCGAGTATGACCTGCCCCACCAATCACTGCAACGGTAAGCTGGTCTGGAAGACTTCGAGATATCTCTTCCGGTGGGCTTATCAGAACATTCAATCGAGGCTTTAATTCGACTAGCAGCCCAAACACATCAAAAGACAGGAACAAATCTGATCAATGATGAGTACTACGAAAGACTTCGTAGAGCTTGGCCAGATCAGAGAAGATTCTATAACAAGCAGGAGGGTCATTCCCCGTTACCGTTTACCAAACGATCGGGTGCAACCTTCGTCACTCAATCGACCACATCTCTGATAGCACAGAAGGAAAGAGTTCGAGTGTTCGATGCTATGAGGGGAGCAGACGCTCGCTATGATTCATAATCCGGTGATCAAGTTGCGCACAGATTGCCAACAGAACGATCCACGACAAATCCCCCTCTCACCTGTTACCTGATCTGGTAAAACAGGTACATGCAGCTGTTTGCTCAGCTCCAATGCCCTAGCAGCCTCCGTGGTGCCTCCCCCTACCATCAAAAGAATTGCACGCAGTCCAGAATGGTAAATGGTTTCAGCAACTGAAAGAGCTGAAGCTGATTGCTAAGTCGGCCAATGAGTGCACTTGTATCTAGGCCTAGAAAGCAAAAATGTCGATTCAATTCAGTTCTGCACAAGAAACATTGACCAATGACCTCAGACTGGCGACGTACCATTGGTGAGGAATATGTACGGGATCCTTAGTTGAGCTGCATGAGAAGAGAAGGAAGAACCACGTCAATTCAGTTACTAGACGCCCGTAATTGATTCGATTCGAAATGAAGAAAGTGGGACTGCAGGAGTTTATCGTGATCAACGACATTTGCCAATCTAGGGATTTTCTCTGTCTCTGCTGTTTTTTGATTACAAGCATCCGTACCGGGGAGTGTGGGGTCGTCGTAGAGCAGCCGAAGAGCTGCAGGAGCACCTGGTATCGGTGTCCCACCACGCAAGAGCACGCCATCGATGTCGAAGGCGATTGCAAAGCTGAGGCAGACCACCCTCTCTTTCAGTCAGTCAGTCAGCAGGTCTACAACTCTCTCAACTCCGTGATGCTCTTCAGGAATATCAAAGTGCGCAAATATTTCTTTGCCATACACTCACTGCGTTACGAATCTCACATGCAAGACGGACTCCGACCTTGAACCACCAGGTGCTCGCCTGGAGGTGAAATTCCGGCAGAAACGACCTCCGTGACCTCGCAACAAAACATCCACTCCCAGCCACATCTTGGACAGATCTCTGCGGCGAAGCACCGCTGAAGCCATGCTGCACTCCGAGCTGCTTCCGCCCTCGATGAATGCTTCCAAATAAAAAATTAATCGATCTCTCCACCTCGTCGTCTCCTACAATTTAGTTACAAAAATCATGCACAAAATGAGTTATTGCTTCACCTTCCATAACTAAAAGACTGCTGTGAACAACCCCGACAGAGGATGCAATTAAATAGATTGTTCGTGCTCTTGAAGGATATGCAGCTTGCCTTGTCAAGCTAACGAACTGCTGTTGTCAGAGTGCGGACACAGCGTTTAGCAAGAGTCCTGGCACTGTGAGTGGTCTTTTATTTCCCAGGAAGAAAAGTGGATTCATGGTTTTGCCACCTTGCCCTGCAAGACACCATACCTGATCCAGACCCAAACCCCTGCAGCTACAAAGCAATGCTCATCGGGTTACGTTGGTGGCAGAGAGAGGACCTCAGCTGCCATTTGCAGTGTGACAGTGAACAATGTAAGGCTCCCTTGGGTGCGAAACGATGTGTTCGAACATCACCACTGGACCAGGACGGTCGGTTTGGGAGTGGCATACGGTGAGTACTCTCGCAAGTAACTTTGCAGTGGCATTGGATGAAGTGAAATTGTAAGTCGCGTGATCTTCACCGAAGTTCCTTATTTCTTGAGAGGGACCGAACCTTTCAAAACGGAAGGATTTGATGTTGAATTCAGTCCGCACAATTCATTCTTCAAACACAGGAGTACAAAACTCAAAATGTATTCTTCACACAGTTTGCTAGTCTGAATACCTTTGCCTCCAGCGCGAAGCCATGCTATGTATTCATGATCGACTTTCGGTTTCTATTGAAACCAGATGCCTTCGACTTTCAAATGATCAGATGGTACAGCATAATGTAAGTTCTCGACAGTCTGCTCCAATATGATAAAACTTTCGACTATGTCTAAGTCCTCTTCTTCGATTGAAATTCGCTCTCCGTAACTTCGCTACGTTCATAGAGAGAGTTTCTGTTCTACTAACCAATTCCTATCATTGATTAAATAACTGGGGAGTGATCGTTGAGCGAGCCCTCCAACCCTGCTGTTTGAGGCCTCCCTCTAGAAGAACACCTTCCTCCTCCGTTTCCTTATATCGAAACTCAGGGTTACTTTAGGTTGTGTTGCCTTGTGTCTTTGGCATATAGATATCCTGAAATCAGCCCCTTGGGCGCGGGTAAATCAAGAGGCCACAGAAACTTCTGTTTTCCTCTGTCCAAAGACGTTCGCGAACAATTTATCTGTCATGGGAGGAAGTAGCATCGGCGACGGGGCCATGAAATTAAGCAAGGGCTCATGGACATTGTACCTGTCAAAGACAAACACGGATCAATTCACTTCATTTGTTTTCTTTGAAAAAGAAGCATCAGTCCTTCACATCCCTCTAGTTCGCTTGTAACAAGGTACAGTCCTCTAGTTCGCTTATATCAAGGTAGAGATTTTCAAGGAAGATATCGACGAACCGAATTTTCCGGCCTTTCGACGCTCGCCGATCGACAACTTTTCGATTCTTCGTTCGTCTCTTCAAGGCGATTAGATCTCTACCAGCTGAGGAGAAGTCCAGAAAATGTTTACCCACATTCAGAACCGCATGATGGCGAAGAGCTTCCAAGTTTTGAGATATCTTCTACTCTGTGTAAGTGAAACAAATGGTGTACGAAGGAGAGAGTTCAACATATGGATCAAAACATACAGAGATCACACGTATGTTCATAGCGAAACGTTAAGCTGCGTACAAAGAGTACATCCATCACTTGTACCTAATGAAGAATGTAGCTTACCTTGGCCCATTGGATCTGAAGATTCTAGAAATTCATGGAGTAGGTTCTGGTAGAATTCCGAATCGTCAAAAGTCTCCTGGTTCATTTCCTCTTCCTTCACCTATTTTTTTGGTGGTCAGACGGAGAAAACAGTAAAAAACAATACATGCATAATGATCGCCGATACAGCTGCTGGTATTTAGAATTTCGGTACTCAAAACACTTCCCAAAACTAGGTTGAAAGATAAAGCCTAAATGTACGAAGCCTATGACAATTTGATGACACACCTCTTCAACTGCATTATCCGTGGCTGCTTTGTGATCTTCAGTGTCTGCACACTACACGACGAGTCCTAAAGTTAGAACAAAAGGTACTTCTTGTTGAATCGATAAGCGTCGACGCAAAGTTCATAGCACAGACAAAAGAAATCAGGGGTTTGCGAAGAAGACTCAACCAGATAATACAGTGATTTTATTATAGATGAACACGTAAGAGCAAAAAACACTTCCTACGCGTGAAAGATTATGCCTGCTGTAGAAAATTTAAATTACAGAGTACATGATACCATAAGCGGCCACTCCCTACTATTGCATACGAAACATTGACGCCACTTTCAACTGCTATCACGGCAACTAAAATTGTAAATACCACCAACTCAGCGAGATGAAACACAGTACGCGAGACCTGGTTGACTATATACGAGGAAGCAGATATTGTTAGAAGACACGAGTACCTCTCCAAGAACACGTAGAGACGAGCGTTTCAATCTCATTCCATCAAGTAAACGAGATGTATCCCTCATCGCGGTTGAAATCTGTTGCGAGATACTCTGTTCCACGGGAGCGCAACAATCAGAGTGAGATGCAATTTTCTCATAACGTCGTAATCGCAGACCTCAAAGTAATTAATCAGTTTTAAAGGGTCTAGATCCCCAGTGCACAACCAGTGTTACCTGGTTAAAGGCCCGAAGTTTCCCTTTGGAAACAACTCCAGTGGTTAGTTGGACCTTACGTTGCCATCTATCCAGGGCGTTATCCCGGAATGGAGCAATTCTGCACAAAAAGCATTTGATGTCAAATTAGCTTGTTGTGTGGATTTAACAATGGGTGGCGACTGAGCTAGGAGACTGAAGCACATGAATATGAAGGACTCACTGCAAGCTCCATTTACCATGAATATTTAGGAAAGAATTATCACCTGGAGTATACTGTGTCCACATTCTCCCAGTCATCATGTGCTCCACCCGAGCCATTGCCTTCCTCCGGATCCCTTCTTGCATTCCTCTTTCCGTTACCTGTACCGAGACTTCGTCCATGAGCTCTTATCCAAATCTCTCTATTATACACATTATAATGTAAGGACGAAAGTGCAACGACGAATAAGGAAGAACTACTTGAACGACGTACCATTCGCTGTGCTTGAGTACATTTCTTCGATCCCACTATTACTCTCTATCATAGCCTGCTCAGAGATATATTACGTGATCAGGCTTCCATGTCAATCTGGTTCTCCGGAAAAAACTAGAAATACAACCCTAAACAGCTCCACTCTTGACAGTCTTCAGTGGAAAAACTTGTCACAAGTCACAGTTTATAGTACTCACCAAGTCAGATAGAAAGAGAAAAACAGTAAATAAACGTACCAAAAGAGAGAAAACTGAAATCAAAACTGTTGTACTTAATCGGTTTCTTCCTGTCCAATTCCCTAGATCCGTATCTCGGCCAACAGTTACTGACAGACTGGGAAGAATAAGATGTAACATGGAATGAGGAGGGAAGCAAAGAAAGAGAGGATTGTAAAGTACAGGTGTAAGTTTCGATGACCACATACCGTTTCCAGGTCAACGAGGCAATTCAAGGTGAGAGCAGCTGAGCTAGCCAGCCTGGAGTACGCCTCCCTAACATCTTTGTTCTCGCTCAGCGCAACTTTAGCTTGCTTCTGCCAGACGGAAAACACCCGCTCAGCAAGGGGCCACTTGCATTCATAAATTTTGAAATCCGGAAAGACCGAACTGAAATCTCGCACACATACTTCATACATACAGACGGTGAAGCCGTGTAGAACTAACTAAAAATGTAGAAATATGTGTTGATGTTGGATATTGCTTTCCCTCAACCACGTCTGCATAGGAACTGACATCGAATAAAACCAAAAAATGACGGAAACTTCGCATACCTTTGGAAGTCTGTTAGCACCAGACAAGGATTTTTGAAGAGATATTCGAATTTCCAAAGCTCTATCCCATAGAGCCTGCAACAAAAACAAGAAGCTGTTATCGAGAAAAATACTATATAACAGGGATACTAGTTTCAATATTGTACAGGAAATACTGCCCGGAACTATGTGTGTAGCCTAACAGACATGGTTACAACTAGTTGAAGAATACTACTGGGTGAGTAGATCAAACCCACGAGCTACCAGACGGAAACGCCAGTCGGAATGCGCAAATCCGCTGATTTGAAAATTAACAGCAATTAAAAATCTAGATAAAACTTTCACAAACTGGCAATTTCCATAATAATGTCATCGCACCTTTTGGTTTTGTACGGCCTGTCCTTTTCTATAGTTATCGCCTTCTTCGCCCTTTAGAGTCTCTCGTACCTCTCTGTTCAACACAAGCAACTGATACATTCAGAAAAAAGAGAGACAGAGTCCAGCTTTTAGTGCTGAAGCAACAAACTCGAGTGAATATCGAGTAAATCTGAAGGTCTAAGGTCGTTGGATTGAATTTCCAAAACTCATGAGTCCTGGAAAGATAAAATCCATTATCGAGCTGTTAAGTGAATAGGGCACCTTACACTTCTTGTTCGCGAAGCTTTTCGTACTCCCGACTCAAGGCGTCCAATTCATCATCTTGCCCTGAGTTTAATTGCCATTTTTTCTACAGACACCGGAACTCCAATTTAGCGAGACTGATCAATTTTTCCAACAGAAGCGGAAGATTTTTTATAAACAGTAGTGTCGGAACAGAAGGGCATACCAGAGCATCATCCTCTTCGTCCGAGCTACCCTCGGTGTAAAGAGCATCCAACTTATCGTCCAGTCTCTTTCTCCCCAAATTTTCAAGATCGTCATCTTCATCATCATCACTTTCGCCTGCTCCAATTGCAGCTTTCCGACTGCTTCGCTTTCCAGCATAATCAGCCCCAAGGGAAATGTCCGGACGCATCCGCAAGCGTCCGGAATCATCCATATCCTGCTCATCTTCACTATGACTAATCAACTGGTCGTCCGAATCGAGCTCCTCCTCATCCTCACTGTCCTCATCTTCCATCATTGAATCGCTCAAATCTCCACTCAGTGCAATCGGACCCGGACCCTTCTTCGTCCGAGACTTACCCATTGCAACAAGATTTGTGAAATTACTTGACACGCGAATTCACAAATCCTCCGCCTCCCTCCCTGTCAATTTCCTCCACAGATTCCACACGTCCACTGTTGCTCACCGAGTCCAATTTCCAACAGCTCAAAACCCAAAACCCAAAACCTCTGTGCACTTGTGACAATGTCTGTCACAGTTCATCGTTCGTTCCTTCCCTCGTTTAGGGTTCAGGCCATAGCTCTCCTCATTTTTCCTTCCACTCTGCAATGAGAAGCTGAAGTACATGTTTTGTCGTAAACGACCCTCCCCTGAGACAAGTAAGATTTCATACTCCCAAACCTCCACTGTCCCTGTTCATGGACTCCAGCCTACCATTGTTTTAACCCACTGCTCAGTGAGTTCAGCAAAACGAGACAGTCTAAAATCTCTCATTGTTTTTTCACAACTTGTCGATATACAGTACTGTCAGATTTAGCTAGAAGTACAACAATCATTGATCCAATTAATCAAAACCTTACAATGCTTCATTATAGATTTATCATTTTTTTCAACAACATTTTTCTTCTCATATCGCCATGTCTCCTTGCTTATTTCCCCGTTTATCTTCTTTATTATGTGAAGGTAGTAAATACACGCAAAACAGAAACAGCTTCATTATAGATTTATCATTTTTTTTCAACAACATTTTTCTTCTCATATCGCCATGTCTCCTTGCTTATTTCCCCGTTTATCTTCATTATTATGTGAAGGTAGTAAATACACGCAAAACAGATACCGCTAGATGTTGTTATAGAGTAGTCAGATAATTTGGGTAAATATTGATATCCAATTGATAGAAGTAAGGTAATAAGAGAGTTTGAGCTATATGAGACATAAGAACTTGGTATGGAAACATCATGCAAGTTCATGATTAATAACTCTACGCAGTTCTAATCACTTTTCCTTTGCAAACTACTTAAAGTTGTACGATTGTAATATTTTAGTAACTTCTGATATTTTTATAATAAGAGTTTTCTATTTGTATATTTTGTTTTTATACAACGTGGTAATCTTAAAAACCTAAGGTGGAGCCAAATGCAACAATAATGTTAGCTATGGTGTTCTTTAATATTTTTTGTGATTGAATGCATATGAATCAATCATTATGAAATAATATTGTCTTTCAGCAAAAATAATAGAAATTCAAGTTTTATTATCATACTTTCGTTGGTTCTATATATATATATATATGTAATATTCTTAATTTAAAAATTCCATTGAAATATACATAAATGAGATATAGACTTCTAAAAAACTGAAACACTAGAAAATAAGAGAAAACCTAATTCAAAGATATTACACAACCTCTGCAAATATGTTATTCTTCTCTCTCTCTATACATATGTATATGTATTCATATATTCCAACTGATATAGAGGAAAAGTCTCATATCCACTATACAGCGCACACTCAATGGATCAATGACACAATAGATGTACGTAATAACACGATTGATTGTTTATGTATACGTTTTCAATAAACAGAAAAATTCCTACAAATCAAATAAAGTACACGGATTGATAAAATGACAATATGTGATAATTTCAAATTAATAAATATTACTTTCATATTAGAAAGTATATTTTTTATTTTTAAGTAATTAAATATAGTTAAAATAATTCACAAATAATGAACATCTTTGAGATTTTAATCAACATTTTACATCTAATAATAAATGATGATAGACAATATAAAATAGTGTTGTCCATTGGGTTGAGTGTTGAAATTTATTTTCAAGATACATATATCTTAAATAAACATATTAAAAATGGACATGCAGAATTTCTTGTTGTTATATTAGATAATTTTTTACTTGCAAATAACGCTAGTTAGTGTTATATGTACATTATAAAAGATATATTAAAAAAATATGTATACATTAACATAGAAAATAATATTCATGTGACATTGTGTGAAAGTTTACTGCACACTAATTTGGACATAAATTTCCGAATTAATGTTACATATTGTGTTATAATATGAAATTGACATGGTTTCATCATTCACTAATAGGAGTGTGTAATTTTTTGACAACTACAATATTAAGTTTTCAACTTTTACATTTAGGACTACATCGGTCTTCGTGTTTAATTCATACCTCTTTCCCTGCACCGTTATGTAATCCTACAACACTTAGCTCATGGCAACAAACAATATTTGACTCAATGTCTATTTCTTGTGTACATCTACAATCCACATTACATGATTTAGGCAATACTAGAAATACACAATTTAAATATGTATTTTTGTGTTATGTAATGAAATCAAATAATATGATGATGTTTTGAATTGACTAGAACTTGTAAGTTATATGTAACATAGTTGTGATAAATTCAAACAATAGATATCATTGTAGAAGTGCATATTCGTGAAAATTTCAATTATATGTGAGACGGTTTTGTACAAATCCATACATCATTATGTTGAAATGAATGTTATAGAATCCTCCGATGGATATAATATGAATTGCATATATAAGTTTGCAATGTTGTTGTCAGGCCAATATTTGCGTGAAAATCCTAATTAAATAATGAAGATAAAAGAGCATATCATTTTTTAAAAAATTATTAAAATAAAGGATGAATGTTTAGAATAAACCGTAGTATTTTTTGTTGATAAACCTATTAATTTTGTACGATTTTTCAATTCAAACCAAAGTTGGATCACATTTGATAGGAGTTAATGGGATTTTTTCATACCATCGGCAAAATCATGGTGCATAAAATGTGGATAGTAAATTTGAGATAAAGACATATATCTCTGCCAAGTTTGTGTGCTTAGAACTAAATATTGATAGAGGAGATGATGTCTTACGAGTTGGAAAGTATTGCAAACTTTGCTATACTCCCCTTTTTAAAATTGTGAATTGGTTAGTCAATTGCTTTAAATGTATCAAAAGTCTTTGTTTTATAACAAATAATATTCAAGCTACCGAGAGATGTTTTTTCATGAAGTCAAAACATGAATTACTACATTTTTCGTCAGTACTCAACCAACGAACTAATATTATGAACATAATACACATGATGATGGTTTATTAATCTTGGTGTATCCAACCACTACTGAGTCTCCATCGCATTTTTCTTAAACCAATGTGAATGTTGTAGATCTTGGTTCTATCATGCACCACAGCTTACTGACTCTTATCAACTAAATTATCTACATGAATGCACTTTTGAGTTGACTTGATCCATCTGAGTATCTTTATTATTCACATTGTACTACGTTAGAGATAGCGTTCTCTACCTAAACCATGCACATCAAACTAATCTATGAGGGTTACTCGTGATTTTAGAAGAGATGGTGTGTTGTACATATTGACACCCAGACCCTTCTTACATCTTTGCTTTCATAAGACAACATGATGGATATTCCCATCTCATTGCTATATTACTCGGTTTTCCGTTGACAATGATCAATAATGTAGTACGCCAAAAAGTTCAACCCCAAGTGTTGAGGGTGACCGGGTGCTAGCGGTTGACGCCTACAGTACATGTACTTCCCGCCATTTTCAGAACTCTGCTTTCGATCGAATTATAGGAGACGAGGGCGGACTACTGATCGCTTTCAATTGAACTCAACCTCCTCTCCCTCCCTCGCCTCTCTGATCCGAGCGCCAGACGATTGACTCCGGAAGGACTCAAATCCGGAGACAGCACATCGAAGAGCCTGGAAGAAACCTTCGAAGCCAGCGTACCTGCGCAGCGTGTGTTGCCTTCGGGAGGAACGACGAAGCCATCGGTGGACTTTCGAACTTGTTTGAGCAGTCTGTGAGGCTTGGATCTCCACTGCGGTTCTCGACTCGAATTTGGTCGGTGTGTTGCGTTTATCTGATCATCCAGGTAACACATTGAGTTCGGTATGGCTCACAAGTGTAGGGCACACTAGGTGAGGTGTGGAGGAGCTTGAAATGAAGGGCGACGTTGTTCCGGGTTTGTCCGACAAGCAGGCGTTCAGGGAGGAGTTGGATGAACTTGCACAGACGATAGGTTTATGGGCCGCAGATTACATAGATGGTGTGGAGAAATGTCAGTCTACTGCCTTGCTTCTAAAAGGCACGGGCCAAGGTATGTCGAAAGTTTTCTCTATGGCTCGTCCTCGAAGTATTATTTGCTCATCAATAGAGCAGATGAATTCACCCTCTATAACTTCCTGCTCATGGTGCGGATCCAGAAATTAGATAGGCTAGACCAGGCCAAGTATGGTCTACTCCTGTCGAGTTTGACTGTGAAAGAGTTTATATTATCTCCCAGAGTAATTCAATGTGCGAACTTGATTGTGCCTTCCTAAATGCAGAGAAGGCATTGGAACTGAAAGAGCTTCTGAGAAATTTGCAAGAAGAATCTGGTCGAATAGAAGCAGGTAAGGCGAAATGCCGCGCTTTAGTTCAGCAGACTTTGCTTACATGAATGTGAAATTTTGAGAGCAAAAGTTCATACTCATTTATAGAACTATGCATTTCTGATAGACGATGAGGCATTTTATATTCAGCTAATGCATACTTAATCTTCACCCTGATGTCCCTCCGCTTCAGCTTTAGGTGATCAACAAGAGACCCTCAAATCGTATAGGAAATGGATTGCGCAAATCAAGGACAGAGAAGCGGCTTTTGGCGAGCGAATATCACAACTGTTGGAAGCTAAAAGGCGCGGAGAAGACAAGGTTTCCGTCGCCATGGCAGGTGAGTCTACTCTCACTTGTTTCCGACATCTTCTCAAGTTGATATTAGGCGCGAATTTATAATCTTAGGTTTTTAGTAAGATTCTCAGGCCTGGTCAGTTTTGCCCGTACCGTGTTGCCTGCAGAGACTTTCGATTCGAAATTTTGCGGTTACACTGACTTTGCCGTAGATTGTATTGGTTAGCCGAGCTTTTGAACTCATTATTACCACAACACATTTTGCAGAGATTTCCGGCAAGCTGGATCACAGAAAAAATAAACTGGATGCTCTTCGGAAAGCGACGAGTTGGTATAAAGAGCTTCTCGGAATACGATGCGAGTACTCCAACGGTATGTTCAGTAGCTTACATACTAAAGTTTCTTTCACCCCAGGCTGGTCTTCTAGTTTCCAGCTCCATTCTTACCAGATGTCGCGAAGGCACCAGGTAATATTTATTGAAAGAATCATGCTATTTGTGTTTTTTTTGTTGTCTGCGTTTTATTACATACACTTGCCTCATAATAGTAGGTTCTAGTTATGGTGTTTGTAAGCTTGTGAAGTATCTAGAACAGTACTTTGTAATTGTTGTGCGTGGATTTTGTAAATCTCACACAAACTTGCTGCTCGTATTTCAGCCGTCAAATTTATTTTCACGAATATCGATCCAAACAACCCGGAACGAGAATTCTCATTCTCCATTCATCATGACAAAAGTGCCAACAAATTTTCTAGTAAGACTCCGAAATCCCTTTGATTAGTCCTCATCATCCTTTGGATGTTCTGCATCATTCCTTTGAACTACGACTACGACTACATTCTGAGATCTACACTGTGTTTGATGTGCCACTTGTTAGAACTTGCCGCTCTTATTGATTAGAATTGAATACTCGTCACGTCCTGACAGGCTATGTCTTTTTCTTGGTGGTACTAGTGGTAGATTGCAGCCCACATATCGACAGGAGTGGTCCCTTACTGGACTCACTAAACACGAGTAACGAACTCTCGCAGTTTGTCAGATCTATGCGATGGGAATTTGTAACTCTAGCTACTGGAGAGTCGAAGGTATGAGTTAAAGAAAGCATGCCCAACTTTCATAACCTTTGCCTCCAGGTGGAGCTCCTCTCTCCCCCCTTGCCCCTTTGAGTGTATCCATCGCTCGAGCATATCATAAGCCGTGGAGATGAATCAAGTTAATGGGATTCTTCTAGTAGCGAGGAAAAAGTTCAGCATGGGATGCGATAACTCCGATATTCAATTATCTACATTACGACACCGGCTGATATTCATGTCTTCTGCAAGACGTGTCCTAAGTTCATCTTCACCAATGATTTCTCGTGGTTTGAGAAGTTATTCTGCACGAAACCTTGTAATACTATATTGATCCCAGAGCAATGAACCCAAATTTTGTACAATGCTGCTCTTCTACACCCCTTCGCGGTCTTCTTCATTATGCATTTGACAGTCTGAAATTCTTTTCACTCTGGCCATTCCGTTGAGTTTTTATCTCGCTTTTGTGGGCCTTTTTTCCTCTTCTGGATGGGTATTTTACATCGCACTACTTACATTATGCGTCTTTCTCTACTCGTCTTACTTCAGGATACTTTGTATTATCTTGGTAATCGGGTTGTGTGTAGCATGTAAATTTCATTTTCAGTTATCAAATACTTTGCTGTAGGTTGTTGAAAGACCAGGTGATAGTGTGTCGAAATCAACGGAACTATTTTCTGTATTTGAGATGTGGCAGAACATGGCTAAGAAATAACATCCTGTCAGTGGGCATCATGTTTAGTGGGCAAAACCACACATTTTCCGGGCTTCAAGTAAGCATCTTCTCTGGTGTGGAGAACGTGATTGTTTCGAATATAACGAGATCATACATCAAATGTGATTATTTCGAATATAACGAGATTACACATCAAATTACAGTTCAGGAAACAAATGAACTTCGGGTATGAGCCCACCGCACGAGAACATATTACTTCATGTCATCTCTTTGATGCGTAATCTCTATCTGAAATAGTTTCTTTTGCGGCAAAGAGGCTGAGTAGGTCATCATGCTTGCAGACGACAAGAAGTCCACGTACTGTCCGTCGAGGCTGTCCGTGTTTCACCCTCGGCTTTCAAAGTAGGGGTTCCACTGGAATCAACCAATTTTATGTAGCTCCAATTCGAAGCATATATCATGTTGGCTGTAGATCATCCCGAACGTGCAATGCCTTGTACCGTCATCCAAATTCTACTGGGCTCTAAGGTGGAACAGATGTCGTGCTGGCAATAGACCTCCTGGGCTTACAATGTGCTATCAGCATTAAAGCGTCATATAAGTGTGCACGTTAGGTGACTAACAGCTGAGAAGAGCCAAAAGCCCTTTGTTGAGCGCTGTGTGTCTCGGGAGTGGAAAAGTGCTACCAATGGCACTGCCGGAACACAGAGCCCTAGGGGACAGAAAATATAATCACGTTCATCGGGAACTGCCCGTTGTTGCCGTGTAATGAATGGCCGTTGCCGGAGCTTGAGAGATCTTGTAGCCTGCAAGTATTACTGACCCGTACGACGTATTCTGTCGTCAGTGATCCTTAACTACAGTCGCAAAGGGGAAGCCGTGACCGCGACATGTTCACGAACGTGAAGACGGCACCGTATCACCGTATTCGCAAGTTCAAACTCTGCCACCACAACGACAGGCGTGAAGATTCTTCTTTCTAACCTGTGTTTCAACGGTTCTTTCAGCTCACAATTCTCGTCCCTTAGCCTTGCCTGCTAGCTTGCAGTAAAGCACCGGACGTATTGTCCTCCGCTGTGGAGCCTGGAGTGTGTCTGGTGCAGTACAGTGCCTGTTTAGCCAAAAATGACGTTCGCGTTGTCGATAGTGTTCATTGCAGGAATAATCCGTTCATCATGTGTCTCGGACAAAGGCTTGTGTTCAATGCTCGACCAAACGGAGACTCGGAGCTTCTCTGACTGTGATCCAACCGCTGGCAACGCGATGGTCCGTCCGTCTCTGCGGTCGGGATCGAGTGCACGGCTTTAGAGTTTCTTCGGACTCCAAGACGAGGATGTCTGTGCTCACGACAAGGACGTTCGTTTCTTGAGGTTGAGAGGGATTTGGTCTGAGATTACTTGCGAAGGAGACGCTGGGGAAGGCACAGGGCACTCTGGACTATTCACAAGTTCCGGCACAAGTGGAATGGTACAGAAATTTCCGAATTCATTTCGGTGAGCTTTTTTTTATCAACACCACGGCAAATTTGCTTACTTGAGGTGCATGACCACGCCAAAGGAGATAGTTGTGAAGTTGGAAATTTTAGAGAGCCATTTCGAATCTGTAAGCCGAAGGGAGAATTTACCAGGCTGTTTATCGAGCTGGAGAATGCTGAGGAGGTCATTTGTCGACTGAAGGTATGGCTAGCGGGCGGAGATCGCTGCTGGACGATGATGAAGGAGACGAGGAGGTTGCCCCGCAGCTGCGAGTGAATGAATCGTATGCTAAGCGGTTCGTGCACAACAAGGAACGTGAAGACTTGCACCGGCTTCAGGAGCTGCGCAAGGACGGGCTTGCTCAGGATTCCGATGAATCGTCGTCCGAAGAGGAAGACGAGGACGGACTTCTGTCCGTGAAAACAGAGGAGAGGATTTTTGAAACTCTTTCCAAAATTAAGAAACGCGACCCTAGTATTTACTCTCAAAAGACTGCGTTTTTTGGAGATGACAACGAGGAAGATGAGGAAGAAGTTAAATCCACAGTGAAGAAGCAGAAACCCCAGTATTTGAAAGATGTGATTGCTCGCCAGCTGCTTGATGGTGGCCCAGAGGACGAGGAAGAGTTAGTGGAGAAGCCCAGGCCTAAAAGCTATCTCACGGAGCAGGAGGAACTGAAGAGAGCTTTTCTGCAAGGTGTGAGAGAAGTCGAAGGAGAGGAAGATGCTGACGATCTTCTGAGGGTGAAGAAAAAGACGAAGGAGGAGATCGACAAGGAGAAGCAAGACACGGAGGAGGCAATTGCATGGGCCGAGCAGCGGGCAAAGGACGCCAGCATTGCCAAGAAGCTAGAGGAATACTTCGGTAGAGACGACGACCTGGATGATAACGACAAGTTTCTGAAAGAATTTCTTTTGAACAAGGGCTGGGTTGATCAGGATCAGAAGACGAGTAGGTTTCCGAGGTATGGCGAGGACACTGAATTGTTAAGCGAAGATGAGGACGAATTGGAAGAGCAGGAGGAGTACGAGGCGGACTACAATTTCCGTTACGAGCAAGGGGATAACACTTACGTTAAGGGACATTCCAGGATTATAGACGATTCTGTGCGAAAGAAGTCGGAAACAAGGAAGAAGCAGAGAGAGAACAAGAGGCTCCGTCAGTCTGAAGAGGAGCGAGCTCGGCAGGATGAATTGAAGCGACTGAAGAACGTGAAGAAGAAAGAGATTTTGGAGAAATTGGCCAAAATCAGGACCGTCGCAGGCGTTAGCGAAAAGGCTGGAGCCGAAGTCCTGGATGAAGATGACTTGGAGGAAGATTTTGATCCCGAAGAGTACGATAAGAAGATGAAGGAAGCGTTTGGTGAAGAGTACTATGGGGCCGATGATCCTGATTTCGCTTCGGATGACGGAGAGGGATTAGAAAAACCGGACTTCGACGCAGAAGATGAACTGCTGGGAATAGCGCCGGAAGCAGGTATCAAAGGAGCAGGTTTCGCAGCCACCAAAGAAAAGCTGGACAAAAAGGTTAAGGTTCCATTCGAAGAGAAGGTGATGATTGACAGGCATCTCGAGGAATACTACAAACTTGATTACGAGGATGTGATCGGTGATTTGCCGACTAGGTTTAAGTATACGCAAGTGAAGCCGAACAAGTACGGCATGAAAACTAAGGATATCTTAGCTGTCGATGACGCGGAGCTCAATCAGTTTGTTTCTTTGAAAAAACTAGCACCTTACACCACACAGGAGTGGAAGCCTAAGCGGCCGTTTCCCCGGTTAAGCAAGAAAGGCAGACAAAAGAAGGCCTTGAAGTCTGATGACGGTGTCGAGAGGGTTGACAAACAGCAGGACAACTCCGCTGATGAAGCCGATGGAGACGCAGAGCAGAACGACCATCAACCTGACAGGGCAGGTACCACTGGCAGTGATTTGGATGACGCGGATGAAGCCGTCTCGGATGTGGGTGATAAAGGTGAACCTACTAAAGGGAATGGGGAAGCAAACGGCGTCAAGAAGAAGAGGAAGAGGAAGAAATCGAATACACCTCTTCCTCAGTCTCGAATGCTTACGTACGCACCACCAACAAAGAAGAAGAAAGTTAAGAGGTGACATTTAGATGCAGTTAGCTAGTAGTATGTAGATTCTATTGAAAGTAGAGTTGATCGTATATTTTGGAGAAATGCACGAGAAATTTTTGCGAGCCTATTTTCCACAGATGGAAGCGGAGAGTAATGTTGCCACGCATATGGTCTCCACATGTTTTTCCAGTGGTTGGTCCTACTGCAACCCTTCTATCTGTGTGTGTGGCCAATTGGCGTCTGTTGGAAGGCCAGAGGCGTCATTTGTACATTTTTGGTACGAACTAGTCAGGAATGTTTGTACCCGCACTTCATTTACCCAGTTAAGATTCACTTATCTCCTTCCTTCCTTTGTTCAGAACTCTAATGTATAAATGAATGCCAAATGTTTTTTTCGCTGATTTTGGGACTCAAGACGTCAGGGTTACCGGATGATCCACGAACCACTCAGACATGGGAGTGAGTAATTTGCTGCAAATCACGGCCCATCTGAGTTCAAGAATCACCCTCTTTGTTAATAGTGCTTCAATGTTTTTGATGTATTTGGGTTCGTTCAGCAGGCCAAAGCTAGTTACATTAGGTATATATGTACCGTTGTCTCATATCAGTAGATAACTCAGGCTAGATGACAGATGGTGGAGATGATTTCTACAGATAGTGGGAACATCTAGTTTTGTTCTATGATACATCACAATATGGTCACATCCTGTTGTCGCCTTCAGCCATGCACCGGGTAACTGGAGTTGTTTGAGTTTGTTAGCTTTAATGTAAGCTGCTGTCGAGAAATCATAATATATCCCTACCTACAGTCAGGCTCTTGGATTCCTGTCGCTGTACCCATTTACTCAGACGAGGTTTATCATTATCGGAAGGTCTCGTATGTAGCCAGCTATGGCAGGGCCCATCGGTTCATTCAGAAGAGTTTGATGGCGACCATCTGAATGAGTAATATGGTGAAGGAGCACGGAAATCATAGGAGTTCGTTAGCAGCTCAACTGTATTCTTAGATTCATGCATTTCATGCACGCACAGGGACATGGAGGGCTGGTTGTGCGAATATAACGAGATCATAATTCAAATGTGATTATTTCGAATATAACGAGATTACACATCAAATTACTGTTCAGGAAACAAATAAACTTCGGGTATGAGCCCTCCGCACGAGAACGTATTACTTCATGTCATCTCTTTGATGCGTAATCTCTACCTGAGAAAGTTTCCTTTTGCCGTAAAGAGGCTGAATAGGTCTTCATGCTTGCAGACGACAAGAAGTCCACGTACTGTCCGTCGAGGCTGTCTGTGTATCACCCTCGAATCACAAAGTAGGGGTTCCACTGGAATCAATCAGTTTTATTTAGCTCCAATTTGAAGCATATATCATGTTGGCTGTAGATCATCCCGAACGTGCAATGCTTTCTACCGTCAACCAAATTCTACTGGGCTCTAAGGTGGAACAGATGTCATGCTGGCAGTAGACCTCCCGGGCTTACAATGTGCTATCAGCATCAAAGCGTCATGTAAGTGTGCACGTTAGGTGACTAACAGCTGAGAAGAGCCAAAACCCCTCTGTTAAGCTCGGTGTGGCTGGGGAGTGGGAAAGTGCTACCAATGGCACTGCCGGAACACAGAGCCCTAGGGGACAGAAAATATAATCACGTTCATCGGGAACTGCCCGTTGTCGCCGTGTAATGAATGGCCGTTGCCGGAGCTTGAGAGATCTTGTAGCCTGCAAGTATTACTGACCCGTACGAAGTATTCTGTCGTCAGTGATCCTTAACTACAGTCGCAAAGGGGAAGCCGTGACCGCGACATGTTCACGAACGTGAAGACGGCACCGTATCACCGTATTCGCAAGTTCAAACTCTGCCATCACAACGACAGGCGTGAAGATTCTTCTTTCTAACCTGTGTTTCAACGGTTCTTTCCGCTCACAATTCTCGTCCCTTAGCCTTGCCTGCTAGCTTGCAATAAAGCACCGGACGTATCGTCCTCCGCTGTGGAGCCTGGAGTGTGTCTGGTGCAGTACAGTGCCTGTTTAGCCAAAAATGACGTTCGCGTTGTCGATAGTGTTCATTGCAGGAATAATCCGTTCATCATGTGTCTCGGACAAAGGCTTGTGTTCAATGCTCGACCAAACGTAGACTCGGAGCTTCTCTGACTGTGATCCAACCGCTGGCAACGCGATGTTCCGTCCGTCTCTGCGGTCGGGATCGAGTGCACGGCTCTAGACTTTCCTCGGACTCCAAGACGAGGATGCAATGTCTGTGCTCACGACAAGGACGTTCGTTTCTTGAGGTTGAGAGGGATTTGGTCTGAGACTACTTGCGAAGGAGACGCTGGGGAAGGCACAGAGCACTCTGGACTATTCACAAGTTCCGGCACAAGTGGAATGGTACAGACGACGTTAAATTCGGGTTTCAGTAGGAGAGTCATCTGCTGCAGCGAGACGTGTGTCTGCTTCGGTTTGTGGGTTATTATAGACGTTATTGAGTAGATGAGCATCCACGAAGTAATTGGCGATACGAACCGTCGGAATCGGAAAGTCGAGGACTTAAGGTGCAGCGCCAAGATTGCGGCCTTCGAGGACGAGGTGGACGAAGCCAATCCACAAATTGAACAGGACTTTGATGCACGGACAAAACATTGTCAAGATTTTGAGTTGAAGCAAGAGGTGGTAGTAATTCCTTCCGTAAACGACGAAGCAACTCAAGCAGCAGCCGATGTGGCCGCCAGGAGAAAGCAGCTTTTTCAGCAATTTGAGAAAGAAAGACAGTTGCTACTTGAGAGACTGCAGCCTGAAGAGATGATCAAAGCCAACAACTCCGACAGTTTTGATGAAGTTCGGTGTGCGGATGAAATGTACTGTTCTAAAAGGTAGATTGAGGCAATTCTAATGGTGTTTTAATTACAAGAACTGGGCAAGCAAGCGCTCGTAGGTGAAACTCGTAGGTGGTCTGAAGCGCATAATATATTTTGTGAGACTGTAAACTGCAGAGAGGAGCATATAGATATTGGCACTGACACGAGGACCAAGGAGTTTGCCCTGCCCGTTGTAAAGAAGGTGCGAGCTCTTCACCATACAACTGGTGTTTTTGACATTTCTTTTCCACCCATTCGCGAAGATTTTCGTTACAGTAGCATTCTTCCTCACTGTTATTATACTGGTAGGGTGGGTTCTCGCTCGCTGTTTTAAGTACAATGTCGTCTCCCTGGCTTAGCCTCAGAGCTTGACTTTAGAGCTTTTGTAATTTCATTCACTTCGTACGCTTTTACTACAGGGGACCGACTCGGAGCTAGATCCTACCATGGCTTATGAAGAGAAATCAGAGAAGCTGCAATGGGAACAAGAAGATCATTTCAGTTCCTCTGTCCTATCTAGAGCAAAACTACCGGACTTTTCAGAGTTTAGCTTGCTCTCCCATTATCTTCCTTCTGCGCTGGATGACAGGTACTTATTAGACATTTATATACTGCAGCAATAAACAGCCAAACACATTGCAAGGATATTTCACTGCGTACTGTCCTGCTCGTGCCGTTTCGATCAACCCTGTCGTTCTCTCTTTGTCTTTGACTGTTTCAGTTTCTTTGCCGCATGACATGGTGTGTGCACAGAGGAAATTCCACGGAATTAGAGCTCGAAGAACTTTCACGGCAGGTTCAAGTCCTTGTGCATCAACTGGCTGGTTGTCGACAAAACCTTCTACGAGCGGAAGTGGAGGTAGGAAAGTTCGTTTAAGTAGAATTCGTCGTGGCAGATTTAAATATGTAATTTCGAAAGAGATCACGCTTGGATGAGTTCGACGGAATGAAGCACTTGTCAAGTATTTTCACTCCTGGCAATAGGTGGCTCGCTCTCGTGCCGAGAGCTAGTCGAAGTCTTCAAGTCGAGCGCAGAGACTGCTAAACTGCAAACCTGCGTCTTTTCTTCTGATCCAATTTTGACCATTTGAACGTTGGCTGTCTAGGTGGGTGTGCTTCATGCAGAAAACCGTGAGCTTCGGATCCTCATCAAAGACCTTCTGGCAGCTTACTCAAGACCCTGCAGTTGAGAGGTGAGTCGTGGGTTTTTCGGTTTCTTGTTGCTGGCTTTGTCCCACATGTAAGAACCGGCGAAGAAATACATCGCAGTTCACTTGCTACATTGTAATGCTTTTTTTAAATATCAGGTAACTAAAAGGAATTGAACTACCGAAGTTGCCATCTTTCTTTTTAGAAAGCACAATGTGTGCTTTCTACGGAGGCAGAAGAGAGAGGTTAATAACAGAATACAGTACACGTCCTTTCGTAAGAAACTTTTGAGTCGTCTGATTCCTAATCATTCCGGCGCTAATTTTTCTGATTGGTGTCCTGGGGCCACGTATAATCGCGTTGAAGTGTGTGCACCGGGTCTGCCGAGGACTAATTGATGATACAATATAGGGAGCGTTGGAAAGAAGCTGGAAGGTTTTCCGAGTTGTAAATTCTTCTCTCGATCACAAGCTCAAGCTGGAGAACTCAAGTCTGACAGTTACCCTATAGCACCAGAGGCGTTGTTCCCCGACTGCATTCTGGAAATAGCGTTGCAATGTGTGCGACTTTTGGCATACTAAAAGTTGAAATTTGTTTCTCCCTTCAAGGGAAGACGTTACCTAAGGTGTAGGATAGTAGTTTTCAGTAGGTAAAGGCTCTACAATTTTTCAGTGTACATTATTTTAAATCGTAAGGTGAATTTCGATGGGCGCAGTCTTTTGCTTTCACTATAGGTGATTCCGACTAAATTACTCACGAAATGGGGCAGAGTACGCGTGCGCCTTTGTCCCCATTTGTTCATTAGAACTTAGATTTGATTTCCTGGTCGTCGTTCTGCGTTCCACGTCTCCATCTCTCACTATCTTGCAAAATGATTCCTTTCTAGTGTCTTCTGTAACCAGCACACTCTGCGCATCTAAATGATGAGAAAGAGGAGTCGCTGACACCACAGGAGTGCGCTGCTTGAGTATGTCGACGATATGTGGAAATAGAATATATGTAGTTCGTGTGAGGTTAATGAGCGAGAGGGGTTTTTTCTATGCAATTTGATTAATTTCACAACTTTTACGAGACAGCTAACTTTAATTCCTGTCCATACAAGATACCATGTTATCTTGGATGGAGATCAAGATTAGTGGATCTATATTTCATAATATATCCACAGTCTCCAACGCTAAAATTCAAGTTTGTATGAGTTATTTTCCTACCATAGATGGATATATTTTTAAAAAAAAATTATTTCTCAAATTTTTAATATTAAATTTTCGTTCTTGTGAGATATTATATTCTCTTAAGATACATCCAATATTAGTTGACTAGAGTTCTCCCACAAAAAGTGCTTGCCTTAAGTCGCAGCGAAAGATATATAGTGATACATTACAATTTTTAAATGAAGATAATAACTTTTCGGATTAAATTTATTTCAATGAATTGAAATAGCCTTAACATGTTAGACAAAATGTAAGTATCTCCTTAGGATGAAGTATAAAAAAATATATAAATCTGAAATAAATAAGCACAGATATAGTCTTGAAAAATAGATTTTACATTATTCTACATAATGCACATGTGTTAGGGTTGAATTTAAATTTCAGTATATATTATTATTATTACTACTCAATTATCAGAAAACTCTTATTTTTTTAACAATAACTCCTTTCCATACACCAAAATTCTGTAGTCATAAATTAAAGGATGGTAATAGAAATCTACATCAGGATGAAAGACATATGCATAAGATTTATTTTTTTTCTACATATTTGCGGACATCAAATGGTGAATATACATGCCTAGATTAGCCAATGTGAATTTAAACGATAAGCAATATGATGTCAAGCTTTTACCGGTAAAATTTGTATACTTTATCAAGTTCACTGTTTTAATCTTTAGGTTAAATAAATTAAAACAGGGAAGAAAATGACAAATTAATATTTTAAATCTTCCATACTGTTAGTTAACAAAATCCTGTTATTATGAAACTGAAAATCAATTGTCATTGTACACAACCAAGCAAGAGAAAGAATTTATCTGTTAAAAAAGTAAAATTGTGAATGTTTTGTGTTTATCAGGGTTCAATATGACATTTTTTCATTTTGTACGAACGAATATACTCTAAGATTATACTCTTTGGATATAATCAAATATTTTATGGAAAATTTGGCATTAAGATTGATCTAATTGATTGATTCTGTCATTTCTTCATTCTAGATATTTTTATATGAATGTAGAAGTCACATACAATATTTAATTTTCAACTTTCTAAGTAACTTGCAATACAAAAAGATCATCGTAAAGTACGTTTGTTTGAAATTTATAGAATTGATTCGTCCTGATTTTCCATTTTGGCTGGTTGTTTTACAATTGAGTTCTTGCTTAAATTTTAAAAAAGTATGATAATCTATCAAAATATTTACTAAATTTCAAATCAATGTATATAATAGTAATATTTATTTGTATTTAAAAAAATGTTTGTTCATTATGAACTAAAATGTATCACTTTCTTCGAGAAAAATTAATGACAACATATCAACAACTACAAGGTCTTGTAAGTAGTTATGTATCTCAATGAAGTTTGTGTAAAAAATTACCAAACACAATAAGAGATTCATGTTAGAAATTTGGTTATTTTTATTCATATAATCTGACTGAAACTTTATTTATAGCAACCAAAAAATTTCACATGTTTTCTTGGTTAAAATTTTGTAAATGAACACACTTTATTTAAAAAAAATAAGAGCATATGTGATTAAAGCAGATATTCTCTGTTGGATAAGAATACATTACTATTTTTCAGTTGTAGAATGTGTATAGTTGATATCTAATGATTTTCAATACGCCCTATATAATATTTTTCTATCAAATTCAATCTTTTAACGCCTAAATCTTGTAGATGTTATGCTCACAAACAATTCAGAATGTTTTGATAGAGTTATTTTCAATATGCACAGACAGGGAGGGGAGCTACACCAAATTTCTGCAAGTGCATGAGATGAAAGGGATTAAACCTTCATAATGTAGTTTTGGAATCCAATGTAGACAATCACGCGGACATCTCATGAGTGTATCATCCTATTATTTTCCATCTATCGTAAAGAATATTCAAGTCAACATGAATCAATTATTTGGCAAAGAGAACTAAATCTTGCTGTAGTGTGGGTTGTAATTACCTATCGTTCTGGACATTGATGGCACGACCTATCATATAGATTCGAGTGACAAGATAAGCCGAATAAATTTAGAGAAAATTGTACACATTTCACATTGATATGGATTTGGTTTCATCCACGTAGCACTAGAATAATAATTTTGAAGCATTACAGGGTTCCCTGAATGACGAGGGATGCGAAATTTTCAACAGATCGCAACACATCGGACGATTCTTTTCTCAGGAGGAGGAGAACAGAAGTCACTGATGCAGGACCGAGCGGGCGCCGGATTGCGGGCGGGCGTGCGTCCGGCAGGCATGTCGACCGACTCTCACACGTCAAGATCCGTGAGCTGTCGATGACTCTGCGGGGTGGCACAGTGCGAACATTCTTCCGGAAAGGACGTGGCATATGCAGGATGTGCGGGATTTGCAGTACTGTACTTGGTAAGAGCGCTCTCGGTACAATGGCCCGGTCTGCTATGGTGACTGACATGGTGTGGTGACAGTGACAGGATCCCGGTCGGGCTCGACTACAGTCCAAAAGAGGAATTAGAATGCACCGTAAATCGCTGCAGCGGTCGCAGGTGCGATGGAGCCGCAGGTAGGCAGGCAGGCAGGCAGACGGCACGACACATGCGAAATTGCTCCCGTTATTGGACTGTGACCTCCCTTGTCTCCAGAACGCAGGAGCAGGAGGAATCACGGGCAGAGGAGTGAGAAAGACATACAAATCGGACTCATGCCCATGCAGTGCTTGTGTCAAGCGTTGACAGCAACAGCAGCAGCAGCAGCAGCGATCTCATCGTGGTCGTCATCGAGGAGTGGGCTTCGTGCCGCTGCTGCTGATGGGGCTGCAAGCCTGCGAAGTGTGAGCGGGAGGGGTTTTCAGGGGTTGGAGATTCGGGAGCTCGCGAGTATTCGACGACCTAACCCTAACTCGAATTTGCCAGTTTGTGGTCTCGCACGAGGCTTTTCGAAAACTTGCGCTCTAGTGGTGACGAATTCGATGGGTTTGACCACGAATGTGGCTCTCGATGGGCCGCTTGTGGTCAAAGCTCCGTCCGACAAGCGCTTGTATCAGGTTGTTCACTTGAAGAATGGACTATCTGCGCTGTTGATTCATGATCCTCAGATGGCTCCCAAGTCGGATGGGTCGTTGCAGTCTGACGGCTCTAGCGAGGACGATGATGAGGAGGATGATGATGATGAAGAAGAAGAAGATGAGGAAGAAGAAGACGAAGAAGACATGGAAGGAGAGGAGGAATCGGGCAGCGATGATGCAGACGACGTAATGGGATGTGATGATTGCGAGAATGGTGTGCACGCGCATGATCATCATGAACGCGGTGAGGGTTTATAATTTGGCTGTAAACTGTCTCCCCTGGACGCTGTCCTGCGATGTCTCGTATCGCCTTCATGTGGCATTTGACGTCTACGTCTCCCCAGAACCCTTGTGTGTAATGTGCTTCAATGACAGGAAGAGTGAAGTGTAGCATGTGTTCAGAAGTTCATGGTGCCAATTTTCATTCGAGGTCTACGATGTCAGCCTTATAATGGAGCAGATACATCACCGGTCAAGAGGCCTGTCAGAGAGATCTTATTCATGAATTGCAATGTCAAATGATTAGCTTAGTTTGATGTGAATTGTCTACATCACTGCAGAACACGATGACGGTGATGACGATGATGAGAGTGACGAAGAAGATGGTAACAGGGTTACTAGTTCTGGAAAGAATGGGATGGCTCCAACTAAGAAAGTAATGTCCTTTCTGGACAGTTTTTGCGATGTTAAGCTTTCTTCTAAGTCCACGAGTTTCTCATTACGGTTTCGGACGTCTCGAATTCTGGGCGTGAAGCATTGAATCTCTATTCATTATTCTCATTTATATGTATGGTTTGATGAGCCGGTGAGTGAGCTGAGAAGCGATTTAATACCAGCCTTGATCCACCCAAACCCAAACACTGACTGACTTTTGATATATGAACTGTTTCGTGAGCAGGCAGCAGCTGCAATGTCTGTTGGGATGGGAAGCTTCTCAGATCCTGCAGACGCTCAGGGATTGGCTCACTTTCTTGGTTCGTAACTTCAAGCTCAGTAAATGCGTTTTCAATTGTTTCATTGTTGGATGATTACATTTTCTCGTTAGACTGATTACCTCTCCACTGATCATGCAGAGCACATGTTGTTTATGGGGAGCTCCAAGTTTCCTGATGAGAACGAGGTAACCACCGTCCTCGTGGTTTTAGAGGAAGTTAGATGCAAGTGTATAGTATGAGATTTGAATCAACAGAGGACAATCATGTAATCACAACAGTATCCAGTGTGCAGGTGGTCCGATGTTACGTACTCAGTTCGAGGGCTTATTTGAAGAATCGAGATGTCCAATCTATAGTGGACATCATCTTACCGTTCTTTGATGGGAAAGCTTGTGTAGTATATTTGAAGATGATGGGTACCATAGTCCATCGTTTCTGAATTCTTTTCTGTTCTGACGAGGTTTTGATTGGGATGGATTGTCTCTTTCTGATGGCAGACCTGACAGAGCTTTGCTGTATTCTCTGGGTCTCATCGTGCAGTATGACAATTTTCTCTCCAAACACGGGGGTGGTTCAAATGCGTTTACTGACACCGAGTACACTTGCTACCACTTTGATGTCAACCGAAAGTTCTTAAAACCTGCCCTAGAGAGGTACTTCTCGGAAACGTTCCAGCTGATGATTTTGAAAAATGTTTTCAGTTCTAGTCAGGTCATGGAAGTTTGTTCTGTTTACGCATCCCTGTGTCCACATGTTTCTCTACAGATTCTCCCAGTTCTTTGTTTCGCCCCTCGCCAAAGCCGACGCAATGGATCGAGAAGTTCAGGCAATAGATTCAGGTACTCATTGACTGGAAAATAAAAACGGTTGTCCTTTCCTATCTGGACATCCTGCATATTCGCCTTATCCTTTCATGTATCAGAGTAATTCTGGGTGCTTTCTGTGTCTTATTTAATATCAAAGTTTAAGGGCGTAGCAGTCGGTCGATTGCCATTATTATGTGGCATCTGTTGAAATGCTTCTAGTTTCCTGAAATTCGATCTCCTGACTTGCTTGATTTTTTTGGCACTGCTCAGAGTTCAACCAAGTACTCCAAAGCGACAGTTGTCGTCTTCTTCAACTGATGTGCCATACCGCGGACAAAAATCATCCCTTTCATACTTTTTCATGGGGTACGCACAATTTTTTGTATTTCTGTCCTTTCGCTGAATAATGAATACAAATTTACTCAATGCAATCTGCTACTATCCATTAGAACTTCAAACACGCACCTCACATTATTTTAAAGTTCTTAGACATGAAACTTTGGGTGGCTTTGAGTATTCCTGTATGTTCTTCCTCTTGACCTTCACACTTTTTGCCTGATATTGAACTCCCTGTCGTCTTTCACCATAAATCATGCGTGGTCTGTCTGAGTGAACCGATGAGTTACTCCAGCTCTTCATTGCCAAGAGTAAAACCTCTTTTGAATTGGCTAGAGTTCGCGCCCTCAAGTAGCAATCAATGACTCATCCGGGAAGGAGTTATGAAATCGCATATCGAAAATTATATCGATGGAGATCCAAGCGAAATTTTAACACTCTTTGGAGTATATACATTTTAAGTGGCACCAGCGCTCATTGCATAAGCTCTTTCGTGTATAAGCTGTCTCATAGATCAATGAAGGATTCCTTTTGTCCGCTGAAGTGACTTGTCTTGCACTGATTCGAACGAATGTGGCTGTGATGTGTCAAACAGGAAACAAGAAAAGTCTCGGTGATCCCATGAAGAAAGGGGTGGACATGAGGGGCAAGATGCTGGAGCTTTACAAGAAAAATTATCTTGCCGGACGCATGAAGTTATCTATTCTTGGTGGAGGTGTGCTGCTAGTCTGTCATCCAGCTTTCCGTCTTCTACCGTGCTTCTGAGATGTGCTTTATCCTCGGCCTCGCCTTCGGTTCTTTTCAGCAGAGATCAAGATAAAGTTCTCGTTAAGCTTTCCGTTAAGCTTTCAGTTCGCATTTTCAGCCCACCTGTTGATACTTTCCGCAGAGTCACTGGAGACGTTAAAGGAGTGGGCTGTGGAGCTGTTTGGAGAAGTGAAGGAAGGCGGTAACGACAAAAAATCGCCTACTTGGTCAGGTCCGATTTGGGAGAAAGGCAAATTTTACCGTGTGGAATCTGTCAAAGATCAACATCTTCTTTCACTGATGTGGCCGCTTCCGTGTCTGGAAGCTGCATATCTGAAGAAGCCTCAAGATTATATCTCGCATCTCGTGGGCCATGGTATATTATTCGCCTCTCTTCTTCTCTTTTAACCTGCACCTATTCAACTTGAAGAACCCTATAGTTGGTCAAGTGGTTGCCAGCCCATTTGTAAAGTATTTTCGTTACATCGAATTGCTGGAACTTTGGCTTTATTCTTGTTTTGTGATTGGCCAAAACAGAAGGGGCTGGCAGTTTGTTATCACTCCTGAAAGAGAAAGGATGGGCTACCGCCTTGTCCGCTGGAGTTGGTGAGGGTGGATATGAGAGAAGTACGGTTGGATACATGTTCAACGTGAATATTTATCTAACAGTTGTCGGTCTTGACAAGGTAAGTGTTATTTTCTGGTTGTTTCCCAGCTTTATCAATGATCTCATCGCACGATTGCTTGCAAATCTACCGTCTCCCTCTCCTATGTTCTGGAATGTGTACTTCCAACAATATCTACCGGGAGATTCGCGTCGTTACACGGGCGAAACTCCCTTTAAGAATGGGCTTTATCTTAACCATTAGAAGAGCAACACAGAGAAACATGCATCAAGTTGGACAAATGATGAAGTATCCGTACACTATTTGTTGCACTTTTACACCCGTGACCATTGTGAGAGCGACATTTCAATACAACCTAGGTCAGCGGGTAGCCAGATGCGGTTTTGAAATTCGACAGCTTAGATTCAAATTCACAGCTGCCTGGATTTCTAGTATCCCAGGGCTAGTCAACTACAAAAGTGAAGGAGTTAAAATATGGGTTATTTTTTATTTGACTTCGAAACCGGTCAAGTACCCGCATAAATGGGAGTCATCGTCACTCAATCTAGACGCGGTTCACTCACAAATAGTCTGCTCTGCTTTTTTTCCCCTTCATATGTTCTCATTCCGGGAACTGGTCCGTTGTCCTTAGTACCCCTTACTTGGGGTGCAAAGATCATGATCTTTAGGCTTTGACAGGCAAATATTTATGAAGTGAGTTTCGACTCATGGTGTTTTTTTAAGGTTTCCTTGTTTTTAAGATTGAACTTGTTGAGTATTATGCTGTTGGTTGGTTGGCAGCTAATTGCCTCATTGTCACTTATCAAGTCAAGCTACTCCTAGGAGATCTTACGGTTGCAAGTGGCTCTTCGACTCTTTTATTCCATATACATTGCAGGTTTTGGATGTAGTCGATCTTCTTTATCAGTACATAAAAATGCTTCGCGACATAGGTCCTCAGGAGTGGGTTTTTAAAGAGCTCCAGTCCATGGGGATGATGGAGTTCAAGTTTGCTGAAGAAGACTCCGCAGATAATTACGTGGTGCGCCTTGCATGTACAGACCTTTCCAGCCTTTCTTTCTTAAGCTTTAAGGGGCCGCAAGACTCGCTTGAATTCTCATTTTATCTCTTCAGATATTCACTTCCGCCATGTCCACAGCGATCTATCTCCTTGCTTTCCGTCATGTCCGTCTTCTCTGAATCTGCTATTTATCTCGGATCAGGCATGTAATCATGGAGTCTTGATTACGGAGTCTCGCTTCCTGTGCTTCGGATGTTACCCGGCTAGCGTTCCTTACTCAAGAGTGTTGCCATCTTGCAGCAAACATGCATCTCTTTAGTGAAGATCATATAATATACGGAGATTATGCGTTTGAAGAATGGGATCCGAAATTCGTCAACGATCTGCTAGCCCTGATTACCCCAGACAATATGCGCCTGGACTTAGTAACCAGACAGTTCGACAGAAGCTCTCCAGGTAGGTACATCAATCTTTTTTGAATGCTTCATGTCTCCCCCTACATAGATCTTAGTTGGCATGATCTGCCAGTCTTATACTTTCTCTTATATACTTATGTTGACCGACTGTCATCTGATAGGTTTGCCTGACCACCTGTTCTCTTTCTGCAGACGTTAAAATTGAGCCATGGTTTGAGGTACCATACTTGGTAGAATCTCTTCCAGAAAGTCTCTTAGAAACATGGGCGAATCCACCCTCCGTGGACGCTGCTCTACATATGCCCGTCGTAAATGAGTTCATACCCCATGACTTCAGCATCATCAGTTCGGTGGCTGTCAGTCCAGATGACCCAGATGTGCCTAGAATACTTGTGGATGGGCCAATGCTCAAAGTTTGGTACAAGTTGGACAAAACATTCAAGGCACCAAGGGCGAACACCTATTTCTCTATTACCTGCCCAGCGGCAGTTGAAAGTGTGAAGGCATCTGTAGTAACAGAGGTGTATATTAAGCTTTTGGAAGATGCCCTTAACGAGACTATCTATCTGGTAAGACGATTTCTTGTTGCGCATTTTAAATCAGCATCGTCCCATTGCATTTAACGTCACCTTGCACTTTCATCGACGCAGAGCCACAGGGAACATCATCCATGCTTCTGTGTTTGTTTTTCAGGCCAATGTGGCGAAGCTGGAGTCTTCCATGTCCTTTTCAGGAGACAAACTAGAAGTGAAACTTTTTGGTTTCAACGAAAAGCTCTCTGTGCTTGCCCGCAAGATTGCTGAGCTTTACAAAGCTTTTGTACCCAGCGAAGACCGCTTTCAGGTTAGACAAGTCACTGATGAACATGCGTGTTCCGTGTTCTTGATTATTGCTTTGTAAATCTGATCCTTCATGAAAGGTCAAAAAACGTGAGCCAGTCGGCATAATTATCGTCTTTTGTTTCTCGTTTTGTTCTTTGTCCAGGCGATCAAGGAAGACATGGAAAGAGCATATAGAAACGTCAATATGAAACCTCTAAAGCATTCAGCGTACATAAGACTTCAGGTTCTGAAGGAGCGTTTTTTCCATGCAGACGACAAACTTGAGTGCCTTCTCAAGCTGAAGCTGCAAGATGTCGAAGAATTTGTTCCTAAACTTTTTGAACAGGTTGGTGTGTGTATACGTTTCCTTTTCATTTGTACCTGATTTCTGCCAAGCAGCAACTGAGTTCTCTTCGTAAGTAGTTAACAGAAAATCTTTGAAGATAAGCAATCTGTTGATGAAGCCAGTGAGTCGTCGGTCGACGACTTCGACGGAAAGTACTTTTCGCGTTCCGTTTCTTGTCCTTCTGCACTGCCGCGGCCCAGTATATGTTGTGAGGTGTAACATAGTTAACTAACTTACTGTCCATCGGATGTTTGCGACGATAGACATACATGGAGGCTCTTTGTCACGGAAATCTAACCGAATCAGAAGCAATGATCATAGCTAACATATTCAAGAGCGCCCTCGTTAAACAAGAGCTGCCTGTGGAACTTCGGGGAAAAGAACGCGTGTACAAGCTACCAACCGGGCCGTGTCATTTGGTCAAAGCTAAAGTGAAGAATGAGTCTGAAGACAACTCAGTTGTGGAGGTAACACTTCGTTGTGCTGGCTGGCGTAGTTGGTGAGAGGTTGCGATGGTGAATTATTTGTTTTTAGAAAGGTGATTGATTGTCAAATTAGTAAAAGCCCGTTTCATTCTCTTGACATCAGTTGAGATCATGGTTCTTGCTTTTTGTAGCCCGGTCTCTTGCACGCTGGAATGCATGTCGGTTGACCAGGGAACGTTTACTCACTTATCAGTCGATCGGTGCAGATGTATTTCCAAGTTGGTCAGGACCTTGGGCAGCCGTCTATCAGGAATCGGGCTATTATTGATATCTTTGAAGAGATCGTTTATGAGCCGTGCTTTAATCAGCTAAGGTATGGGACCGTGGAATCTACTGACACTTTTTGGTATCGGAAAAGTAGAAACTCCATCTTGGTCTACTATTAAAGTACCGAAGACAGCTATTGAGCCTGAAAACTTGTGTGACGATTTCGAGTTAATGATACTGACCGTTTTGCACTTTTTTTCACTGTTTATACAGGACAAAAGAGCAGCTGGGTTACAGAGTTGATTGCGGAGTTCGAGTAACTCATCGCATCATGGGCTTTTGCTTTCGAGTCCAGTCCGCCAAATACAGTCCTCCGTACCTTCAAGAGCGCATCAATGCATTTATTGCCACTATTCAACAGACTCTGGTATGGTTTGAAGCTCTGAATTGGGGTATATTAGTTTGCTTGAAGTCAATGTTATAACCATTGTTGTTCTATCAAGTGTAAAGTCTGGTTCAGAGAAGTGACTTCTTCACGTAATTCACTTCTCTGAACCAGACTTTACATAGTTCACAGACCTATTACTGTGCTTCAAGTGTAGATATTCAGGATTCCATACCAAGAGGGTTGGAAAAGCTGGGAACCTGAAGTGTATATTTCAGATTATTCATCTCAACCTCACTATCCCTGTCATTATGAAGAGTTGACATTTTCAACTCCTCCTGATGAAGAGAGTTGAAAAATTCAACCTTCTTTATCAGAAGCGCAGATCAATCTAGAATGGAAAATATGTTCTTGACTGCCAGTCGTCGAGTAGAGTACAGGGCTCCTGCCTACCTTCGTCATTATATGTGAGCGCTACCTGGCTAGGGCTCGTGAACCAGAATGGTTCACGCCAAACAGTGAATTTGTTCTGTGGGGTTGCCTGTTTTTGTCAGTTCGTAACGTATGTGATCGGCGCGCACGAAGATATACTCCATAATTCGTTCTAGACTTTACTCTGATCCAACTGTGCAACAAACAAGTCACAATCCGTTGAGCTGCAGCTGGCCGACGGCCCACATCTCCAATCTACGTCAGAAGTTTTTTTTTTTTGGGTCATTCGTAAATCAATTGCTTCGCGTGGACGTACTCGAGTCTGACATTGACATCTATTCTTGGCAAGCAGGCTGATATGAGCGACGAGGAGTTTACAAACTATAAGGAGGCACTTATTGCCGATAAATTGGAGCGAGATCATACTCTCATTGAAGAAACAGACCGACACTGGGAGCAAATATGGGAGCAGAGGTATTCAGTCCAATTGCTATTCCCCTTAGACTCCTTACAGCTTAGGTTCATTACACATTTGAGGCCCTTTTAGAATTTTTTTCTGTGTTGGATATGTCCTGATTGTTCGCCATTTGAACTCAGGTACTCTTTCGAGGCGCGAAAGCTAGAGGCCATGGAGGTTCAAACTCTAGAAAAGGGCGATGTGATTGACTGGTTCAACCAGTACATCAGTTCTGGATCACCTGGTAGGAGAAAATTAAGCGTCCACATTTGGGGCAGCAACACTGAGACCGGTCTTGGAGATCTCCGAGCCAGCACGCCGGAAGAGACCATCGCAGTGGACAATTTTGCATCATTCAAAAGTAGTCTTGAATTATTTCCAGTCCTCACCTGAGAGATCACCAGGTGGCTCAATTCTTTGTACAACGTCGCACTGAAGAATGCACACACTCAGTCACATTCACGTGCCATATCAATACAGGTGCACTCGTCGTACACAATTACTTTCACGACAATGACCCTGCCGTGTCCACTTATCAAATAAAGTTGTTTTGCTTCCTACAAATGGCTGACCGTTGACCTGGATTGTCCGGATAATTTGGGTGCTGTATGAGATGTTTGCGATTGTGATTTACTGGGGCCTAGCCCCATATCACCCGTTTCGTGTCATCCCTGTTCAGCTTGATAGACTTTCCCATACTCGTTGCCGCATTACTTGGTGCTTCCCTTCCTACATGGTGATCCAGAGTTTTCTCATCAGAACTCATATATCAATTGATGGACGACATATTCACTAGTTTTGGTTTCCTGTTTTCACCATGCTCTGCACCTTGTGTCCCAAACACTATCATGCTTTGATCATGGAGGACTGAGATCGAGGATGGTACCAGACGACCTTACTTGTTTTGATGACGTGTTCTGGGCTTGTGTAATGACTGAACATCGAATTATCTATTCAATAAGCCTTATGGTAGGCAGGCGTGTTGTTTGAAGATAAGCCGTTCTTAAGGAATAAACACCATATTATATTGCACCTCTGAAGTGTTAGAGAGTCCACTGCACAAGGCCAAGCATTTTATACGTGCCCGGGGTACTTTTGTCTTTATTTTCTTACCTAATGTTAACACCTCACTAAGAAGCAATTGTTCGTTATTGATAAATATAACGTTCACGTTCATCTTTATGGAATTCCACTTAATCCCGCTGTTTAAATCTGGTTCACCTAGTGATCTTTCTTGTAGATATGACGTTTATCACCAGACGACGCCCGAGTAACCATTCTTCGTGATTTACAACTATTTTTGTTCCATCTTTAAGAAATCTAAATTGTAATATCTATATTTTTTCTAGAGTTAGATATACGATAAAATTTACTAGTTCTATTCAGAACACTCGAATATGAGTCTTCGAATAGGCCGAGAAGAGATGATAATGACTCACATACATACACATGTATACGCGCATACATATAGATAGAGAAGGTGTTGCTAAAAGTGCTCCTCTCTCTTCCATTAAGAATGATGCATGAAGCCTCTCAGCTGATACAAGTATGAAGCATGAAGGGTATTTTCATGAAGTGAATGGAAACAAGCGAGATTGTAAGCACCTTAAGAGTGCAAAAAAGAAAACCTACAATACTTCCAACATATTTTTCTTAACCACACATAAAGCAACCGTTAGCATGTATAGAATTAGCCAGAAATATTCATAGACCCTAACAAATTATTTATTAATAATTGTTTTGATATTGCAGTCCAGGTGAATCATTTTGGTAAATGCATAGATGGTTGCTTGCTTTTAGAAGCATAGTAACATTTTCAATGTAATTATGGTCATAACGGAAATTAATTAATTTAGTGTAATCTGATATTTATTCATATGTGAAGAAATCAAAAAATTATATATAATTTTCAATTCGATAAAATGGAACTTTTTATTTTATTCTAATATAGTCATCATCTCACATGATCAAAATCTCTTTTAATTCGATAAACTTAAAATTAAAGTAAACTTCATAAATGAAGAGTATCAAAATTTATCCACAAGAATAAAAATTTTAATTCATAAACAAAAAAACGTCACAAATTGTAAGTATGAAATAACATGTGTGCTGAATGGATGCTGAAATTGGGGCACAGATTTACACACTTGATATATATTTTTAAAAATAATAGTTCAAGATATATGTGAAAAGAAAAATATTGGATATTGTATTCTGAGGATATTGAATATTTTATCCGTTTACATTATACACAAATAACAATGTTCATTGAATTGAATCTTGATTTTCTGATACTTATTTTATTATTAAGTCTAATTCAGTTATAATTAATAATTGATGAAGTTTTATGAAATGGATACAACAAAAATCAATATGATATTTCATTTTGATCAATATTTTTCATCATAAGAAAGATGAATTATTCTAAATAAATATTAATTAAATTGAATGAATGTCATCACTTGAATCAATCTATGAGAATTCTAAAAATTAATGAATGATAAAATTTAAAATATTGATTATTTTTCTAATATAGATTTATTTATTAACCTTTTTTTTGAATTCAGGACATAATTAACATAAGTTGAAATATGATCAATCAAATCTTTACACGATTTTAAGTCTACAAGATTAATGTTGAATGCGTATATGTTGGGACTTAATAATTGTTAGTTTGATCTTGGTTAGTTAAGATAGTTAATATATCACTATATATAACAAACTGATTGTAACTAGTTGGGATCAAAATTAGTTTTTCTTTCATTATAACTTGCTATTATTTTTGGTGTAATCTGAAATGACATATCATGAATGTTTTTTCTCAACTATCTTTTTCTTCTTCTATCGTGCAAATGTCTAAGATATGTGGCATAGTAATAAAAAACAAAAAAAATTTAAAAAACAAAAAATATAATAATTATGTGACGATTTATGAATGAACGAGTTTGAATCAATTGAGGACTCTTTGTATAGATGTAAATTCTAAAATCTTTAATAGATGAGAGTTTTGTTATTAATACCATGCATGTATAGTATATTATACTCAAAATCTTTAAATTTTTTGTAATGAGCGTTGTACACATTAACTTTATTGCATAAATGAAAAATTTTTTTTTTCTTTACTTGGAGTATCAACAGAAGTTATTATGCCTTATATGCATGATATATTTAACGAAATGATTATTTTTCAACTTGAATAGCAGATAATTGTGCCTGGAGTAGCCAATGTTATAGATTATAGAATTATGCAGTGATTTAAATTTTTTATCAGGTCAAATAGAGTTATGGATGCACATTTGAACATATTTTTGAGGTTTTTCACAAAAATTTATTATATTTGATAATATATATATATATATATATATATATATCTATCTATCTATCTATCTATCTTTAGTCCTATTGTGTGATCTACGTTGGATATCATGTCTTTTTAACTAGAGGATAATATGAAATCTTGCTAGTTGTATATGATGAGTGAAAACTTAATTTTTGATTTTTTTAAAAAATACTGTGAATAAAGAGGTGAATGAAAAATATTTACAATATAAAATAAATATAAATATGAAGATGAATATAAATAAATTTCAATTTGAATGGAAAATTTTCAATTCATATATGGACTTGTTGTATGTTAATCACAATCTATTTTATTTTATTTTGGATAAAAAAATAAATAATTTTTATCTAGTAAAAAAATGAGAAATAATTACTTTTCCCACCTCTGACGATTTAAGTAACTACTTAATTTTTTTATACTAGTGCAAATATGACTATCATTACTGAACTTGAGTTAAAGATTTAATCAAGACCATTCTTTACAATTCAATCATAATTACGTTCAAATGCATGCTTCATATTGAGAAGGAAATAACACTTGACGATCAATTTCAAAATTAACTGAGGGATTAGAATAGCATGACCAAGGACTTCACCAACCAACATAACCAAAAAAGGATGTACGAGCTCAAAACTCTTACGATGATTTGTAAATTAATTGTCAGCTATTATATATGAAGAAATTGAATGTGCTTCATACCTTATAGGTAAAACAGATTTATGAACTCCGCCTTGTTTAATACTAATTGATTTAATTTTTATTTTTTGGGTGCATTATTATATTGGAATCACATCCTTGTAATACTTGATGTAATATCAAGAAATTTCATATAATTAATTATATATTTATAATGATTAAAATTGAATAATTTTGAAAAATGACATTTCATGAATTTGAAGCAAATATTACCATGTGTTTGAGTTCAACCGGATTATCTGAAATATCTGTCATAAGCACTAGAGTAAAAATTGTAATAACGCAATCGTTGAAAAATATACTGGGGAAGAGTTGATGCATCAGTCTTAATTCCGATATTTTTTTAAAATAGTTCGAATGCTTTCCACCACTCTGATTTCCTATTGCATAGAAATACATTCTAGATTTTATTCTTGCATCGGATAAGGGAAGGTCTAAGAGTCTATGCGATAGTGATGCTATTATACATGGACCCAGAGTGGACGACGACGTGTTTAGGGACGGAAGGATGACGGAGGTCGGACGGAAGACAGAGGGACGTGGATGGAAGCGCGGACGAACGCGGCCGCGGCCTCCGCCTCTGGTTCTCGTCGAAGGTCGCACTTGGAAGATCAATTGAATATTTGAGGCATTTTCATGTGAAATCCGAGGTCTTGCACAATGGCTGCTGCACGAGGAGTGATGAAGGCCAGCGCCAACCCAGGCTTAGGCCTGGGCCTCGGGCCTGGTGTTCTCCGCCAGCGCCTTGCTCCTACCTTCGGTGAGACCGGCTCGCCTGCCCTCCTGCCTTCCTGTCGTCCTGTTTGAGTTCCATTTCATAATGTCTTGCCGTGCTGCAAATCTACTGCCCTCGACCTCACGTGGTTGATGAACCCGGTTCTTGGCCTTCTGTCGAGCTCAGTCTCAGTGTTCACATCTCAAGCATCGTTCGGGGTTGGATCTCAGAGTGTGCTAATTTTGCTTTCGAAATTCAGAGATTGAATTTGCAGTGGCGGCGGGTTGATCGATCGTCTATTTCGTAGGCGGTTGCAGGTTGATCTTGTTGCCCTCTCTCTGAGGCCTTGATCGAGTTTACCAACCTGAACAGAAAAGATAGATTTGGCCAGAATTCATAGATTTTTTGTGTTGATCTGCTGCGATCAGTGAATGGTGTTTTGAGATTTTAACTCAAGGGTTTAAGGGAGAGACTTTTTATTGGGAGGGGTTTTCAGCTGAGGCTGGCGTGATGAGCGTATTGTTTGATATTTGCAGGGATTCATGAGAACATTGCCGGAACTTCTACATTTCAAAGGGGCTACTCTGTACCCAAGTTGTCTTCTTTTTCTGCAAAATGGGGTGACAATAATTCCTACAGCAAGAGCGGTTCATTATTCGATGGTGCCAATTTGTCACCGTTGTCAGGACAGTCGAGATCGAAAAGAGAGTTGCTCCTTCCCGTACCGACGCTCGTGGATTCGAAGGTCATATTTTCTGCTGCACCAGCGTACGGGCATAACAAGGTGAGTTGGGCAATTTTTTTCGTTTTCTTAGCATTAGACAGTTTCCAGCTCACAATCTACTATATAATGAGATTAACGCGATATGTTTCAATACTCTGACTTGGCAGGTTGAATGAGATCTTTTTTATTTTTAGAGTGTCCTCATTAGCTCAATTGGTCCAAATAGCTTTAAAGAATCGGAACTTTTTTATATATTGAAGCTTGTTTTTGTCGCTTTTCCTCTATTCAGGAGGGTCACCCCGAATGTAAGGCTAGAGTATCAGCTATAATGAAAGCTCTCGATCAAGCCGGACTTGCAGATGAGGTAGGGTAAGCTCATGCACCTGCCATCTCCTCATATCCTTACCTTCCTTTTTTTCTTTTCTTACCTAGCCTCAAGTCTGGGGAATTTTGATCGTGACATTGGTGAGAAGCAGACTGTAACCAGCTCTAGAACCCTAGTCTCATTAATTCACCTCGTTGATTTCTTCCTTGATGGTTTAGAAGGTCATCTCTCTTCAGTTTACAGCGAATAACGAGTAAGTTGTAGCATCATTAGGACATGATTTCAATGTTGAAAACTTCGTTACGGTGAAGGTTAAACTCTACTGGGTAGCCAACTCTTATTAAACACTTGTCTGCTCAAAGGCATCAGTTAACTGACAGTCGACACTATAGTGACATCTTTCTCTCGCTTTTGGATCCTCAGCGAATGTTGGTTTTTAGGAGCTGTCCCACTAATAGATCTTGTCGCATGAAATTCGTCACCTGTCGTCACGTTCAAACCACAACGATGTTGAAACCGAAATAATAATCTCGATTTTTTTTCCTTTTTTTCATCTCATGGACAGAGTCGAGCTAAAGAGATTCTCCGGCTAGATGTGAAAAATATGGCTTCCGTAGAGGAAGTTGCCACCGTACACAATATGAGCTACGTGAAAGGTCTTCGCGAGGTCCGTCTCATGCCTTCTCTTTTCCAGTGAGAATTTTGTAAGCAGCGAGTTCGTCCGACCTGTTTATTATACTCATGTCATGTTACAAGCAAGGCCTTCTGAGTCAAACTGAAAGTGACCTTGACTCAGCGTGAGAGATTTATTATTCCCTGATCGGTCAAAAGTGCTTTCTGGCTACAGATTATGGATAAAGCTCGCGAGGAGAAGCTCATATTACTCGATTCCACAGGTCCCACATACGCCACTGAGAATGTTCGTATTTCATGCATTTGCTCAAGTTTGTTCATGTGTAAATTTGTGGAAAGTTTAATATATGAGAATTATTTTGTGGAAGTTGACGCTCTGCTGTAACCTGTAAATGATGAATGACACGTTAGTTCAATGAGCACGTTGGCTGTGTGTTCTGTTTAGAAAAATAAGAAATACTGACGCATGAAATATTATGTCTGTTGAAATTGGCCAGTAGCTAAAGCTAACTGATACATAACGAAAGCTTCTTCCCAATGTAATCTGAACCTCTTGATATAAACCACGTATAGGAACTTAACCTGCAGGCATTTGTGCTGCGAATTTACCATACGCTATGCGTAAGAAGATGAAAGTACATTCCCGGTACATTTGGACCTGGAATAAATTTTTTCTTATTCTTGAAACTTCTACGCCTGAAGTTCAGCTAACACTAGTGTGCTGCAGACTTATAGGGAAGCGATGATGGGAGCAGGAGCTAGCCTGGCAGTTCTTGACCATGTGGTAATGTTTCCAACCTTCTTCTCACCTCATAGTCTAAGCACGGATCAGCTAGGTAAGGGCTTCTTGGTTGAACCTCGTCTTGAGGAAAGATCCCCCAGAAGAAAGAGCCTCTTTCCTCGGAACTATTCTTTTCTCGTTTCCACCTCTCAAGACTTTCCATATTTCTACTACTAGCACCGCCCAGCCAGAGCAAGGGTTTGATGTGGTAATGCTATGGCTGGCAAGTGTGGAGTACAGGTTCTAGTTTGGAGTCATCGCTGTTGCAAATGTCAACGAAATTGCTGTTGTTGCCTAGCTTATCGGCCTAAAGTCATTTTAAGGACAATTCTAGCCAATCCGAATCATACTGCATACACAAAATGCCTAATCCATCTCTTGTCGAGCTCTGTGGGAATTTGACGGCATTGTCTTAACCCGTCCTTGGACTTGGAGTTGATGAGGGTTTTGGATAGTAGTGAAAAAGAAGACTTTTGATCTTCTTTGAATCTGCTTCTCCGTGTTTCACCTACTTTTTCGAAGCTGAACTTGCTTTCGACATTCATTTGGGGACAGAGTATTTATTTGTCTTGGACATTCAGGTTGCTGCTTCAAGAGAGACTTCCACTCCACCAGTTGGTTTCGCTTTGGTGCGACCTCCAGGTCACCATGCTATAGCAACTCGACCAATGGGCTTCTGTGTATTTGGCAACGTGGCTGTGGCAGCAAGGCATGCGCAGCGAGTGCACGGGCTGCAGCGTGTGTTTATCATTGACTTTGACGTACATCATGGAAATGGCACCAATGATATCTTTTATGAAGATCCAAATGTCTACTATCTTTCTACTCATCAGGCATGTCAATCTTACACTGAGCCTTGCAGTTTCTTGTTATTATACATCCTTCGTACCCGTTTTCTATATCAGGTCGTGTCTTGAGTCTCAAGAGAGCTGAAGTTGTGAAGTGATAATTCGATCTGCTTCACGTTGACCAAAATCTCATGGAAGTGGACTTAGTCGAGCAGGTTGGTGGGTTTCCCGGAACCGGGAAAATCGATGAAGTTGGGGAGGGCAAGGGAGAGGGCACAACTCTTAATCTTCCCCTACCGGGGGGCTCCGGGGATGAAGCTATGTCTGCGGTCTTCGATGAAGTTATTGTTCCTGCAGCGCAACGATTTAAGCCTGATATTATTCTTGTCTCTGCTGGGTAATATTACACAAAACTCTTGCTTTTTATGCGTGAAATATACATAGGAGGTGGCCTGGATGGTTAATGCCTAGATCAAATCACAAAACCTTAATGTTCCTCATTTTTAATTGCGTCATTGAAGTGATTAATGTTCGGGCACCACTTCTCCTAGAGTTTTCTTGAATAACAGATCGCAGAGTTGAGAAACTTGTATATTCTGTAGGTCATGTCCACGTTAATTCCACTTTCCATTTGAAAATGCTATGTGTTGAGCTAATGGAAGGGCTTGTTTTGAAAGCAGGTATGATGCACATTATTTAGATGAGCTGGCTGGTCTTCAGTTCACAACCGGAACCTATTTTCGTCTTGCTTCACATATCAAGCAACTAGCGGGAGACCTTTGCGCAGGTCGGTGTTGCTTCTTCCTTGAGGGTGGTTATGACTTGAAGGCACTTTCAAATAGTGTTGTGGAGTCATTCCGTGCTTTTGTCGGAGACAAAAGCATGGCCCATCGTCTTGACAACCCAGCAGTGCTGTATGATGAACCCAGTATACTGGTAAGGCAAGTTATTGACGAGGTTAGATCAATTCATTCTTTATGATTCTTATTGTGGTAATGTGATTTCTACGTTCAACGTAGTCTGACCATTACTACGGTAAATGGGTGATACAGCTGGAACCTAGAAGCGCAACTTGATATGTCTGATTTTGTAAATTAAGGAAATCTGAAAGCAATTCCAGCGATGCAGTGATCACCTCATGATTGACCTTGTCTGTGGTTGTGAATTTCTTGTCTGCCATGACATGAAGGGAAATTTCTGACCTACCGATCTCCAAAATAGTTACTAGGATTCAAGATCAATCTACAAGTTGCAAATTCTTGTTTGTTCTACAATCTTGATAGCTCTTCTTGTTGAGGATGCAGAGGAATTTTCGAAATTCCTGCATCACGCTCATGAATATCATCGTCTTTTGTGTTTTCCTTCAATACATCTGCATCTTGTGCTAACTTTTATAAAGCCTCTGTTTGTATTAATTTCACGAAATTGATGGACTGCACACATCTAAGTTATGCCGGTGGTCCATGTTTCTCACCTAGGGTTTAAACCTTTAGGTTCTAACTTCTCGTTACTTTCAAGGCTTTGACCACAAATCCTATGTGCAAGTTGTAATGATGACTTCACATTTATTAGATAAATGTGAATTCTTCAGAGTATTGATTCTGAATATTTGGTTGGTTTCAACATCTTTGTATTGAGAAACGTTGCTAAAGCCACGTTGATAATTTTGTTTAATATTCAAATTTTTAAATTTGTAGGGTGTTTGAGAATAAGAACATTCCTTATTGTAGCCTAACTTTTTTGTAATAGTTTTGACTTTTATAGAATATTTAAAAAATTCTTTTAGATGACAACAGAAAATCAAGCAAATTTTTTTAATGATTTGGTTCGATCAATGAAAATCGGGTGGAATATTAAAAGCTGCAAAAAGTATTCCACAGTGAGAGAGAGTTACATGACGTTTGCATTTACGTGAACGAATTTTTACATTCGCTAATTTGAGAAAATTAGAAAAATCATCATCAGACTGCCACGAATATTGCAAATCATAGGCGTCTACTGAAAGTTTGTATTTTGGAGTTAAATATTGCAGTATATCTTCGAAGAAGAATTATATTATTTTTATGAAATGCCAACTTAATTCTGAATAGTTTAGATGAGTTTATTTGTGAGTTTTCTGAGGAAAAAAACCACCGAATTGATAGAGGAGTAGCACATTAATTTTTCTCTTTATTCTTATGTGATTATGTAAGATTATAATCTACAAGCAAAGATGTTCGATAATTTTTTAACTATGAACATTTAGAGGTACAGAAGTTTTCAAATCTAACTTTCTGGGTACCCAACGATGGATTTGCAATTCACTGGCACCCATGTTTTAATGATATTTTGATTGTTTTGCTTATGGTTCCAGCATGTTTTTCGAGTTGATTCTCGCACTCGATGAGAGATCATGATAAGATGTATCTGGAAAAATATAATTGAATATAACGTAAAATCATACCTGATGGGACCCCGGAATTTGCAATTCATTGGCACCCATCTATAATGATATTGTGATTGTTTTGCTTATGGTTCCAGCATGTTTTTCAAATTGATTCTCGCACTCGATGAGAGATCATGATAAGATGTATCTGGAAAAATATAATTGAATATAACGTAAAATCATACCTGATGGGACCCCGGAATTTGCAATTCATTGGCACCCATGTTACAATGATATTGTGATTGCTTTGCTTATGGTTCCAGCATGTTTTTCAATTTGATTCTCGCACTCCATGAGAGATCATAATCTCATGGATAAAATGTATCGGGAAAACTACAATTGACTATCGCACTCCATGAGAGATCGTGATACAATGTATTGGGAAATATACAATTGACTATAACGTAAAGTCATAAAGACCCCGGAAGGGTTCCATCAAATAATTTGCTCATCTTTTCTAAATTAGGTGACTTGGTACATTTTGAAATTTTGGAAATTAAAATCTTTCAATAAATATTTTTTAAATATTTTTGACAATGTAAATTTTAAATTTCAACTAACTTCAAAAATTCAAAATAAATTTTCGCTTAAAAATCTATAATTTTCAAAAAACTATAAATTAGAAACGATTTATTCATCCATATCAATTTCAATTTATTCAATTGTTTTGAAAATTAAAATTTGTTTTTCTTGAGTTTTCATAGATTGAAATTCGTCAAATCATGTCCAACATTCTACTGTCTCGTAAATTTTATCAGTTGATTCAACTTACCTTTACATGTTTTGGTATTCACGGTGTCTTTTCCTCATCTCATGATATATTGTTACAAATAAAGTAGATCATATATCAAATTTGATTTGATTGACCATTTAGATATCATAAAGTTTATTTTTCACAATATTATACTTTCAAGTTGAAAAAAACTTTTCAAAAAGTTCTAATTCAACTCTGATCGAATTGAATTTTTTACTTAGATTTATTGATGGCAATGTCTCCAAGAAAAGTTCAGTTTGAACAAAATACTCTAACTAACTATTATATATGCTTTCACCGCCACATGATTGTTGTTGCATACAATGATAAATCTAATTTAAAAAGCTTAGTTAAAAATCATTACACTTGTAATATCATATCCATAAATTGTACATGTAGTAATTAGAGTTAATTTTAATAGTTGCGTTAATACTAGATTAGTGCCCACTCTCGCTAGTTGGAGAGCATAGTCTAGTCATCATTCGAAAAAAATTCAAATCTTCAAATAATGTTAAAATTTCAACATTGGGAGTAGCTCTGAGTGGATTACCTACGTTTTCTTGTATCGTGAGAATATGTATTGTCATACAACTTACATCACTAACATGCCATACTCATGCACAGGAACGAGAGTGTACAAACTCAACTCTAGAAAAGTCTCACTCTTTCATTTTGATACTAGAAGTGACAAGATTAATAAAAAAAACACCACTTAATGGATATACCACAAATAACCATAAAAATATAACCCTGCTAAGGAATCCATTCCATTGACTTTTTCATCAGAGTAATAAAGAGCAAACCCTCTTGGTTTTAGTAGTTGTTTTCGCATTTTACATTTAACAATCATTTGATAGATTAGTCAACTTGCTAGGCCGATCAGTCCTGTGCGATATAAGTACAAGTTCACAATTTACTAAAGCGTTTCACTTATCCAGGTTTGGCACCATACCATAATCAAAAGGTATCACAGTCCAAGCGCACAAAGCTAGTGTAAACGTCAAAACGAGTGCATGTCGTGACGACACAGGTGCTTTAAAATAGGTATGTTATGGGGACCAGTAAATTAGCTTAGGCAATAGAACCTATATGTCATGTAGCATGCTTCTATGACATGTAAAAGCTAAAAGTAAAGGGTGGATTCTTGACTCTATCCGCAAATTCCATGTCAACCCCGACTCATGTAGAGCCAAAGCGCGGTTCGGACACAACAATATCGGAAATTGGTGCCTTGAGGGCGTTAAGGACATATGGTCATTATGTAATCTGTTTAGATATAGATCTACATATTTGTCAAAATGATTTTTTTTTTCTAGTTTTCAAGATATTTCTTGAGCAAATAGAGAGGCATTTTGATAAAAAAATAATTTTGGGGGTCAAAATCCGTGGATCAAAAAGCCTTTTTGCTATGCTTTTAGAGCAACCGTGGTAACAGTAGATGCTTTGCTCCTTATCGGATTTGAACCCAATGTGTTCAAATTCAAGTTTCATTTGTGACACCTCAATGTATCACAATTGAAATGCTTTGTGCAAACACCATTGGCTTCAAACACAAACTTCACATCAAATTGATACAGCCTTAATCCACAACACGGAGAATTTAGGCCGAAGCTAATGGGACGCCATAACCGATATTCTGAAAGTTAATTCTCACGCAAAAGGCTCAACTCTAAGAACTAAAGATTTTTTGAGTCGTCGCGATTATGTTCCATGACAAGAGTGAAACTAACCTACACTCTACCAGAGTTGACTATAATTCCGATGCTAATTATAGATAACACATATGAACATGACAACTGTTGTGCGAATATGCATCGTCATACAACCTACATCGCTGACATGCTATATTCATGCACACATCCATATACAAAAAACGAGAGCGTACACATACATCAATGTATCACAACTCACATCTCTAGTTGGCGGTTAGGTTCCGCTAACTCCCACATAGCATTATACATCTACATTATGACATTCACCTTCGTGGATGCAAAGATCAGTAGGCCGGATGCAAAGCAAGTCCCATCGTTAGTCGCCAATTTGTAATCCATGTCACGTGTAGATTGAGTGATCTATGCGTCTAAGTACATCAAGGACAAATTCATCGTCCAGTGCGATAGTGCGTCCCTTCGTCACATCTAGTGTAGTCGATGCAGCTAGCTGTAAATAGACAAAGTACTCCATATTGAATCTACAAATTGATGATCGATAATCTCCTCCTTAGATGGATGCATACCACAACGTATCTCTATGTTAAACAATTGCAAGGTTCTTAGACGCTGCAAACATGACTTTTTGAAAGAGCTCTGCACTTTGAAAACACACTTTCACGCACATGTTTGAATCATCAAGGTTCATCATCTTACTAGAGTCACGACAAATCGCTGTTGACAAGTCTGGATCTCGGCCGTATGAAATTTTTTTTGGTGAGAAGGAAATCAAGAATACTTGACAACGAAACCGATATTCCATAAATAATCATGGTAATTGCATATTCCAGTTCCTAAGATGTTCCTTCTGTAATTCATACTTGCGCAACAATCTTTTCACCGTTGTACATCACGTTCAGCCAAACTATCAGTCTCTGAATGATCTCGAGACATGATACGATGATCAATTAGTGCCTTTCGGTCAAGAAAAGCATATGCTGCTTCCTCATTCACATTGTCAAGTAATGCCACCAACTCAATCCACTTGAAAACATGCATGATCATCATCAACACATACCAACAATGTCGTATAGTCAAAGGTAATGGTCCACAAAATGCATACTCCAACAGTAACTCAACCCCATGATAAACAAGGGATGCAACCCCGGTGTTGGAGCATTGAACGATGTTCTCACTCAATCACAAACCATGCAATGAGATATCAATTGATGTACTTGAATATGCATTTCACGCCATGAATATTGACTAAGGAGTAACATGTATGTACGCTTCACTCTAA